TTGTTAAAATTTGAATTAAAAAAAACTTAAATGAACTGTTACTAATTTAGAATGAGTTATTCTTAAAATTTAAATTAATTTTTATTAATAAAAGATTAATCTAAATCGATAAGTATTCATTCAAATTTTAATAATAATTAATACTTAACTGATATAAATTTTATACAGAGATATTTAATTGTTATTTTTCCAATCATCTCAAGATCGTGGAACCAACGACTTAGCTGAGCATCCCCTTTGGTGCGTCTTATTGCAGTAGTCACCATTTCCTCTTCATTAATGACAGTGTTTTCCTCTTTGTGACTATTTATATTAAATTTAGATTATTCAAGGTGAATAAATTTATTAAAAGATTTTAAAATTTGTATACATTTTTTATTTTAATAAATATAAAATAAAGAAATTAAATTTGAATAGTCTAAATGAGGACGCTTCCCTCTGACTCCGCATCTTGTTGCATGTCCTCGTGTGGGGATTTAGAACAAAATCTTCCTTACGAATGGTCACACGCTCGTTCGTTATTCCTCCATCCCCTGTTCTCTTAAAATGTAAGACTTGTAAGGTTTTGACACATAAGAAACATAATTACTTCATCGGTTCAAATTTCTCCATCTATTAAATTATATTTTTGAAGAACTATGATAACATTTTTACTAAATTGAAGAGAAAAGAACCCCTTGCCTTCTTTCCTTCCAATCTCTATATGCTAATAAATAGTATTTAATAATAGAAAAGCAAAAAAATTATTTAAACTCATCCTGAAAATTTAATTTTGTAAAATATATCTCTAATGTTATATCTAACATATAAAATAAAAAAAATATTAAATTAATCATAATCAGTCCAATCATTTATCCGGAACCGTTTCCTTGCTCGAATCGATATGGTCAGTCCGACTTTAATTTAAATCCTTGATCCAAGGATATAAATTTACAAGTATTTATAAAAAGTTTATGATTGGGATCTGCTAAACAGTAGGATATCGCCTAGAGTTTGGGAAGATAGGGTTTGAGTTGTCTGATGGAATGGGTGGGGTTTTCTTTGCAGCACTTCTTTTAATTATTTTAAAATTCAGGACTAATCAAGTCTTTTTGCCTTGAATCTTATATTTGCAGTTAAGCTCCCATAAGTGTACAGTCACATTTTAGAATTTTATGGCCCTTCTTTGCTAATAACATGCTACAGGGGTCCTTAAGTGAGATTTCCCTTAATTTTTTTAATTATATAATGTACAATGTTTTATATAAATAAATCAAATTTTTAAATCAAGTGTGAGTAGACTTGTCATTTCATTAACATCATTGAAATGGCAAGTTTACTTAGGTTTCTTAGTAGATTTACATCGTGTCCAATTTGAGTTTTAACAGGTTCATCTATATAATGTTCAAATATGTTGAGAAGATTTTTACAAGTAGATATCACTAAAAAAATACGGTAAAGTTAAAATTTAACAAGTTCATTCTATATCACAACAGGGATATCGCCTAGATTGCGTTTGAAACCACAAACCCAGTCTCCCTTGGAGATCCTAATCAGGCCACCACAAGCTACATAATTCCAAAGGGTTAACTAAGGCATCCACATCTCTCCGGAAAGTGTTCTCAGGTAGTGGGAACCAAAGTACTTTTTGTAGACACGAAGTTGGGTAGAATGATATGATGGTATGATCCCAACAGTATGAGATTCATGAAGATGGTAAAGAGAGCTATGAATCAATTATGATGCATTCAGTCGGTGGCCTTCAAAGATGAATTTACACCTGTTCTTCCAAAGCAACCAGCATCCGAGTCCAAAAGCTTGTGGCCAAAGCCATTTGTTGAAGCGATTATTTGCCGGTTTATGATTGGAGTTCCACTTAAACCAATCTTGCTAGTCAGAAGAAAAGAAACTGGAAAAAATTGTGAGTAGTAATCAGTTTCTTCCAGAATTCTTTGGCAACCGCACAATCGCGTATAATGTGTATGATACTCTCCTCTCTATGACACTTGAAGGGACAATCACCAGTGGGGGAACGTCCCATTTTGGCTCTTAGTGAGTTAATTAGTAAACAATCTCTCAAGAAGAGGTTACTAGTGGGCTTGTTTGATTCTGTTTTCATGCTCTCAAATTTTGAATAATATATTTATATATTAATTAATTATTTCATACACTTAAAAAAGCAGTTTGGGCCAATATCAATTGAATTAAATAATACTCCCTCTAGCTCAAAATGTAAGTAGTTTTTAGGAAAATTCATAAATCAATAAAACTATCATTCTCATAAAAATATACATTGTTTTTTCCTCATATTCTTAGTCTCAATTATCAATGCACTCATGATGAGTGTAATTTTTTTTTTTGCATATATTACATTACTTATATTTTAAATGCGAGGGAGTATAATGAAGAACTTGATACTCTTGAGTTAAAATCTTTATTTTTGTAAATTAAAAATCGAACTTTCCTTAACTAATATATAGTGCAGAATAGAATATCAAATACTTATTTCATTCAAAAATACAAAATATTTTTAGTCTTTTAAATGTAATCATTACGTTATTTTAAAAATGTTCTTATTGAATATATCACTTTATATTTTTTTTAGAATGAAACACCCTATTAAATAGGGATAAATATATGAAGATAGAACTAGCTTAAAAACAAGGAACTACTTTATTGAGGAGTGAGATTTAATTAAAAATGCTTTAAATTTTTAAACAGAAGGAGTGTTTTTAGATTAAAGGATAATTTTGCTTTTAAATAATAGCTTCAAGAGTAGTGTTTAGAACTCTAGACTTTTTTTATGCACTATCAAGTTTTCGCGTCCCATTTTATAAACACTTTTTGTATACGCTAAGCAAGACTTTGTAACACAGTACCCTAAATTATTATAAAGTCCTAATTTGAAATCATCAAATTTAATCTGTGTGGAGTCCCCAAACTTTTAATTATAAATAAATTTTAGTTTGTGTTTACTGAAATGCTATAATTTTAAATGTACCCGAAAACTAAGGGCACAAGGCATTTCTCAAATATATATATATATATATATATATATATATAAAGAGCTAAGAATTTAAGAGGAATCAATCATTTTTCCGTGCTTTTCTGTGATATGCATATGCCTATTTAAGGGTCCTCACTTGCCATTCTCCAGTTATTGAAGCAACGAAAATAAATTTAGATATAACATTTAATTATCCTGCATTGTCACATCAAGTTTATCAATCTAGTAAACTCACTTGTGAGAGAAATATGAGAAATAAAATAAAATAAGTCATTATAGGTAAAAAGGTAAAAGTACAAATTTAGTCACATACAATTTTTTCTGGAACATCAGATAGCACTATCAGGTGGCATAAAATAAATCTTCAACTTTAAAAAATGAAGCATCTAATAATTCACCATTCACTTCACCTAATGAATGTTACGTGGGGCTCACAAATGACATGTGATGGTATAAATTTATTCCCAAACTATTTTTTAAGGAACATTAGATAGCATCTACTATAAAAAAACAAAGCATCCAATACTTTTTTATCAATTTTAATTAAATACCGTTTATTTTTAAACTTATGAGACCCAAGACACATCAATCCCTCTAATCTTTTTGCCTCTATTTTCAGTCTCAACTCAACAAAAAAAAAAATCAAAAAATTCTTATCTAAAGACATTAACAAAGACGCTTAACACCAACAAAGTAGAATAAATAATTCATGGCTAAATTAAGCTAGAATCAAGTTTCTTTCACGCCTAGTAAAACCAAACTTTTATTTTATTGGCATCGTCATCGTGAATATGTTCAACTAAAAACTCTTTGAATCTCTTCTTCTTGAGCTGAAACTGAAATGAGGACAAAAAGATTGAAGAGATTGATGCATTGTGGTTCATATAAGTTTGAAAATAAATGATATTTGGTTAAAATTGATGAGAAGGTATTGGATGATCTGTTTTTATAGTAGAAGCTATTCGATATATAATTTGTAGCTAAATTTATACCTTTACAGATGCTGGCGTGGAATACTACGTGTCATTTGTAGGCCCCATATAAGGTAGTGTTAACAAGAAGCTAGTGGATGCTTCGTTTTTTTAACATTTATAGATTGATTTCACACCGTCTGATAGCTTAGGCTATTAGATATTTTTAAAAAAATAATTCATGATTAAATTTATTACATTATCCTAGATAAAAAAAATATCTTTATATTTTTAAATAAAACTTATTTAAATGTTAATGTTATAATTATTATTACGTATTTTCTTCTTTAAGTGAGAGAGAAATTTAAACATGTTATCGGCAATGTTGTCAGAAATTGACTGACCAGTTCAATCGATCTAATGAGAAACCGGCCAATGGTTTGATTTGGTTAGGGTACAAAACTGAGGGGAAAGTGAAACGGTCAAGAATCGGTCAAAATCAGCACTAATGAAGAATCAGTTTCATTTTTTTAACCTTAATAATCCAAAATTATGTTATTTTGCGTTTATATTTATCTTAGTTAACAATAAAAGCTTCTGTTAGTTTGGTTAGATAATTAATAAAGGATATTGATTATTTTGATCATTGTAATATTTCAATAAATAGTTTTATTATAATGTTAATACAATTGACCATAAATTTGACGTGTAATAATTGGTAAGAATTTAATTAAACTTAAATATTGTCAGAAATATTTTTGTTTTTCATATATAATAATTAAATGTTATTGTTTTAATTAAAACCAATCGAATTACTCTTGAGTGAACCAATAACTAATTAGTTCAATGCATGGCCCAGCTCCAACAATGTTGGTTACAATGTTATTTTATGGTGGCATATTCATATAAGAGAATAGGGGAGACAGTAAATCTCGTGAATTGATACAAAATCTAAAATAGGTTATTCTATTTAATATGAATTATCACATTGTTCAAGATATGAGCAACATAACTCCACATTGTTTTATATTGATATTTATATTTATATTTAAGCCTTGAAGAGATTATGGTTGCTCGAAAAAGAAAAGACAAAAGGTGGAAGATTACAAAAGCCACCAAATATTGCATCACATCTATAACTGAACACAAGGCCTTTCTTCTGGTGGGGTGATAAATTTACAAAAGTAAGATTCAATCTAACCCCAGAAATCTAATTCAAATACTAAAAAGCAAATCTAAGATATCAAACAATGAGATTAACAAACTTGCCACTCAAAAAACATGATCTTTACATGTAGACCAAGCTGATGTAGCTTCCCTGTTATATTTCTTTTTTCTAAATTGGGTCACTCATTATCAGACTTCAAAGAATAAGTAGACCGAGTCCTTCCTTTCTTCCTCCAAAATCACCTGGGAAGCAATTGCATTCTGCATTTCTGCTCACCTTGCAAACCGTCCAAAGATCAGATCTTTGCATTAAGACATCCATCCACATGTTCCGTTGAACATGACCCAGACCTCCGACCTGGACCAGCAGCGGATTCAAATCCAATCCCCGGACAAGAGTCCAGACCCAAACAGCCTCAGCATTGGCAGACTCTAACACATGCTATGAAAAATTGGAAATATACAGAAGGTTCAAATGTTACAAGGATTAATTATCCACACAGATTTCCCAATGCTGAAGCTTGATTTAATTTCCCTGCTTTTTAAATCCTAAGAATTTTTAAGACTCTCCATCCAAACAGTTGAACCCACATAACTATATCAGATACCCATTACCCAATCAGCCTCTAATATTTGAAATCACCAAAGATGGCCTCCATTGTCTTTGCCAGATATGGCTTACCATCACTAAGAGCCTCTGCAAGTCAGAAAGCATAATGATAATACCCCATTTCATTGCTGACATCGGAATAATATTCATTATAGTTGAGATATTCCCAGAAACGAGAAATCCCAAAGCCCCCATGTTTAGGTGCCTTGATGTAGCAACGCTGCAATTCTTTAGATTTTTTTCAAACTTCTGCTTTATCGAAAGCACCTGCAATTCAATACAATTAGCATGTCAGTCCCCTATCTATGACACCTCAGTTATTGAGAATATACCAAACACTTCTGCAAAAAAAAAAAAAAAGAAAAGAATATACCAAACGTTGACAAAAGATTCACCTGAACCCTATAACAAACATGAATAAATTGACTTTCTCCGTTTTTTTTTTTCCGAGTCTAATTTATGGAATTATCATAGTTATGTCAATGTTATGAAAATGGACCAACCCAACCAGCTCAGTAAGAAAAATCAGTGAATCAGTTCCTAAACTGATTTGAAACCTCCACAAAACCTCTCATTACAAGGAACCAATAAAAAACTGGAGTTAAATGTTTTATCAATTCATAATGACATCATTTTTGGAGCTTCAGTTTTTTTTTTTATTCCTACATTCTGATGGTATAAGTATTAATCTTGTGCATAATTATTATCATTTTTCTACTTAATATATAATTAAATGGTGAATATATGAATAATACACAAACTCTAATTTTAGACTTCCTTTAATAATCTTAGAATTCAATTTGATGATTGTTGATGTTCTTTTGATATATATGCTTATGGTTTGGCATCCACTGGATCTAATCCAATAAATACTATCATGATTGGTTATTTTTAGTTCAATTTATGATTACAGATGGGTATTCACTTATTTGGATTTAAATCTATGTTACATTAGTATTTATATATATATATATATATATATATATAATGACTCAAGACAAATATGCAATAACAACAAGCCTCATCCCACTAGGTGAGGTTAACTACATGGATTACACAATATCATTGTGCTCTATTATCAACCAAGCTTTTAGAAATAATATTAATTAGAAAGTCTCATTCAACAATTTTCATAAGTGATTTTTTTTCCTTTACCCCTCTTAAATCAGGCAAAGCCAAGTCAATCTTGGGTGCCCCCAGACCCTGCAATAGATGAAAAGGCCCTGCAGAGCAAAGGTTATCATGTACCTTGTCATTGTCATGCCTTTCCTAATACCAGAAAACCTAAATGTATGTTTGGTACACTGAAAAATGTTTTCTAGAAACGAAATGAGAAATATATTTGAAAAGAAAATGGGAAAGGTGCATTTGCCATTTCTTTACTAGAAAAAACATTTTTTACCTGCCAAACATTACATAAAAGACACAGCAAAGCATTAACGTATTTTTATGTTCGGAAGAACACTAGGTAGGATCTGCTACTCTAAAAGCTGCCTCATTCCATGACTCTTTGCAGACATGACCAGTCATCGATGCCTGATATTTCCATGTCATAAAGATAATGCTTTGAAAGTCTTCCTCAAGCATGAACAAATCACCAAATTAACCAATAATTTGAATTGACACTATGAACTACTGGAATTTTAAGCCTTTTCAAAGTATTTTTACAGCAAGATAACTTAGCAACAACCAAATATACAATCTGATAATGCCAAAGATCTTTCCAAATAAAACATATACAGCTAGTATTTTTGTCATTTTTTATTTCCACAATAACTTCATCAGACATGTCATTTAAATGTTGCAGGGCTTACCTGAGACACATTGATTCTGAATCTGCCAAACAAATTTTCCTGATCAATTCCTGCATCCCAGGTTCCTGCTGCAAGACACAACCGGAAATCTAGTGCACATTGTAAAATGCTCTCAATAATGCTGCCTACTGTCCGGGTTTCATCAGAGAGGAAACATCTGCAATAAGCAATATCACATGCCTTCTGTCAGACCTTCCTGAACTTGAAAGTTACTGAAAGATTCATGCCTCAACCTTGGGCCCTATCACATGCAAGCCTGCCCCCAGCTAGGCCAACCAAACTGCAGCCACATCAAAATCTTTTCCTAAGCATTTATCCCACTAAATTGAGTCAGTTACATTAATTGCACAACTATCAATTACCAAAACTTTGGGTATATTGTTAACCAAAAAGTCCCATTCAATAACTTCATTGAATATTTTCTGACCTTTCTCTACTTGTCTTCACAGTACTCAAGAATATCTATAACCCCACTTTACAGACTTTTTTATGACCAATTGGCTATAAAAAACTATATAAAAAAAATCAGAATAACTCAAAAAAAAAAAAAGAGCACAGTGCTTAATCTATCTGACTCAATCAACCCCTTGCTACCAAATGGAGGATCAGTATCAAGAATCAAACTTAATAACTTATCAGCATTTGGTCATTGAGATTTCATTATCATGTTAAGGACCACTTAAATCCAAAAGCGTAAGGTCGAAACTGAAAACCCAAGATATGGTTATATGATATCTCTAACACTAAATGTTAACGATGTATAAAAAAGTCTCACTAATCAAAATCTAATTCTGCTAGCAATCAACTTTTATGGACTACCATAATAAAGAAGCGGGTTAGAATGCCCAATCATCAGAACAGAAATTGTGAATATTTAACATTAGACACAGCTTGTCAAGCCAGAAATGTATCACTGATCTTACCTAGCCATGTTACAAGGATAAAATTTATGAGGCATAGACAAAATTACGATGTACTAAATGATCATAAGGAATTACTGTTATATATCTGCCTAATATTTACTAATTGTCATGTAAATCAGCAAAAAACATATAAGTATAAACTTACATGCGCAATGCATTGGCAAGATAATCCATGTGAACTGACTCTAGATCCATCATATCATTCGCCTACATAAATGGCACATATATCCAAAAGATGAATCAAAATAAAGAGAAACAAAACAGGTCAAAGTTATCATATCAAGCAAACTCTGTCACATATATCAAAAGTGGTATGACTAGTGGGTCCACAAACAGAATTGGCAAAAAGAAAATTGATACGACTCCTCATTCACTGCCCACTCCCATCCGTATGTTAGAAGAAATAAGCGTCCAAGAGTGGCAGATGTTATTCATGGGTCTGGTATGGTTTTGCCATCTGATGTGGAAATGACTATTGCTGAATATTAGCAAGTTATTAAGATTGGGTTGTTGACTCATTACTATTTGTTTTATTTTATCCTATCTATTTGTCAGTTATTTTTATGACGTATTATTGTATAAGGCAGTGAGTTGTAAGAATCAAATGGCAAGGAAAAAAGTTTATCTTTCATGGATAATTAGGATACATGCTGATTAGAGTTTGAATCCTTCTTATGTAACCAATATATAGAGACAGCTCTAAAGTGGGTTCCTATTTCAGATAATCAGATACATTTGTTATCACAAAAGTGATCTGACTAAAGGTCCTCAACATGAAATTCAGCTGACTACAAGACAGAACACTGTTTCTTTGCCAACTATCATTAAAAAACAACTAAAAAAAAAGACATGAAAAAAAGGGACCCAAAAGTATAATGTCTAAAATAAATAATTAACTAGTACAAGAGGCAGCAAACCTTATGCTGAAGGGAATGAAGAAACCTGCACCATGATACATGAGATAACTGTGACTCCACATACTGCTGCAAAGTACAAACAAAATGGCTGACCTGGTGCCTGGATTAGAAAGTAGAGCCAAAAGTACTCACAGTTACATACATGTATGGAGAAGAAATTCATAATCAATAGTAAAAATTAATTCAAGGAACTCTCCTAAACGCTCATTAGATTCCGCTAAAATTACAGAGTTTATAGAATTACAAATTCTAATAACTTAAATCTAACACAGTGCTTGGCAAGGTAGAAAAGTCATGGGGGAAGCAAACAGGAAGGAAAAGTGCATTTTCCCCCTGCTTGGATAAGGAAAGAAAAGTGGGAGGGAGAGAAAAATAGAGGGAAAACATGTGGGACCACATATTTTACCTCCAACTTTTCTCTCCAAAAATAGGAAGATTTAGGAGAGTATTTGCCCATCATTTTTTTTTTTCATTTTCCTATCAATTTTAGAACCCACATGCATTGCTTCTTAATGCAACGTTCTATATTTTCAATTTTATAATTATTTTAAAATTTTTGAAATCACTGAATAGAAAAAAATTTAAAAAATTAAAAAACTAAAATTGGATAAAATAATTATAAATTAAGATTAATATATAATTATACTTTAGTTTCATTTAGTCATATTATGCAAATTATATAAACTATACAATAGATAACAAGCTCTGTTATATGTAAACATTTTTCCTAAAAATAGTAAGATTATTATTGCCCAAATGAAATTAACCAATTTTCTCTCCTCCCTATTTTCTCCTCTCCATTTTCCCATGTCAAATACCACACATGACAAAGAAAATATTTATTTTTTTCTTGGGGGGGGGGGACCCTTATATCAATAATTATAAAAATATGATTTTAAATGCTGACCAATGTAATAAAATAGTGATGATAATATTTATTACAATTAAAATAAAACCAGATAATAGTAAAAACAATAACATTAATACATTTAAATTAGATATAAATGCATATTAATATATAAAGAAAGTGTGTGGGTGTATCATATATGATAAACATGTAATAGTCAAAAAGTTCGTAATTATTATTTTAGTCAAATAGAATTTATTTATAGTTTCTTCTATCGTTCCAGAGCAATGTTTTTCATTGAGTGGAAAGTATGGTTAAATTTTTTTAAAAAATAATTTTTTAAAAAAATGATAATATGATAGTCAATAACATGTCATACATTATTTTTAAAGAATGGTAATAGGAAATTTCTTGAAAAAATTAATTTGTTCTATTTGTTTGGAAATAATTATACCTTTTTGAAGGGGGTGGAGTAAAAAATTCTAGGGGTAAAAATAAAAAATTTGAGGGGTGACAGGATTAAAAATTTTATAAAAATAATATTATTTACATCATTGATACATGCACAATACAAGATCAACAAAAATTAAGGTGGGAGTGGGTTTGTCCTTGTTGGTATAACTGTCCGAGTCCACAAAGAGGTAAAAAGATCCCATGAAGAGGTCAAAGACATAAGCCATTCTACAAAAGGTGATCCAAATTAAATGTCCACAAAAGACAAAGCAGTTTTAGTTCATACCTCAGCTTTATCAACATATTAAGATAGCCCACTTCATGTTGGTAAAGTTCAGAATTCAGGTTTTTACTGGTCATGTGCACCAAATCCTGTTCACCGAAATTCGAACAGAAGTTCAATACTATTACACAATAGAGGCCCCACATTTTCACTTACCATGAGCATTCAGAATTTAAGGCAACTACAATCTGAAGCATACTAAGATATCAAATCTCGTACATCACAAAAATTGCAGACTCTTTTGAGCATATCATTTTACCATCAGAATTAGAAATAATTTAACTTTCAAAAGACAAAAAGGGGGAGAGGATATATGTTTCAAATTAGTCCTTTTTCCAAAGGCAAAAATCCGTCCCAAACACGGGAAGAAGCAAATGTGACTGATAAATACATAAAGAAACAAGCAGAACGCTTGCTAGTCAAGAACAACACAATGAAAGAACAGATTACCTCAGCAGAGCACAATCAGTAAGAATATATATACAAGTAAAATTCAATGAAGAGGGCATGGCTAATCACACAGAAGAATAAAGTTTCTAATAGTTAATTTTACCAAAAGCTCATACAAAGAAATCAAGGCATATCATGTTTGTGTTGTGACACCCAATAAGATTCTATAGTGTAACAAATATAGAACGTGATTATTTTCTAACTATAAGCTATATGAACTTTCCAAGGCCGCTCCCTCTCATCTCATGAGATTCATAGGAAGCAATTGATGGAGAGTTATATGATACAACAATGAGCCTTATTCCACTAGGTGAAGTCAGCTACATAAATTACATGATGTTATTGTACTCTCTCATCAACATGAAGAGTTTTATGATATTTAGAAGATATGATATAAACAAATTTATGCTGATCAATGATACACAATGAAAAATTGGGGGGGGCAATTTTAAGAGAAGCCAAACCTTAAGAGAGCACCAAACATCAGTCAACGAGAAAATTCCAAGCTTCACTTGTATTAGAAAATTGAATATATCAGAATATATCTTCAATGCAGCAGGTGTTAAAATAATATTGACTGGCCAATCCACACGGTAACCCAGTCCTAAGAAATCAAAAGAACGGACTCCTGCCAATGTTTACAGGTTCCAGTCAGATAGCAATATTCATTTTTCTACCACTCCTAAGTGGATGGAGTTGCTGAAACATTAATCAAATCTGAAAGGAAATGATAAACATAAATAACAAATCTCAACAAAAACCAACAGTAATAATATTTGGCGCCGCTTTTGTTAATATGATAGAGGTTTGCTTCACATCAATGAATATAGTATAATGTATACCAGAAGTTGATATTGAGAATGGCATTTTCCCATCTCCTTTCACGTACACAAACAGCCTATCTTTATGACGGTCATTTTCACATGAAGACTTCTGAATTGACGACTCAAGGAGACCTTGAATTTCTGGAAGTCTCTCATTTGCTTCTGTAACAGACCACCTCTGTCAAATCAAGTCAGGCAAAGAAGGGTCATGCATATAGCATTGTTATTACAAGTGTGTTATGAGTTAAAGAGTCATTTTGAGTAGAGACATAGTAATACATGATGCCAAAGAGACAAAATAAACAAATCAGCCCAATCTGCTACTTCCATAAAATGATAACGTCGCAATGCCAAAAGATGCTCTTTCAACTCAAATGCTTCTTCAAGCAAGTAGATGGTTAGCTTGCTGACATACTTATATCTAACATCATTAAGGAAAAGTATCAAGCAGAAAATTAACCTATCCAACAGCAACTATTCAAGTGTTCCAACTCATAAATTCCCAAAAGCTGTCACCTGAACAATTATGAACAAAATTAAGATTTTTAACTCGTGGCACTCATGCAGTAATCAAACATCATCACATCTAAAGTCTAAACACAGCCCACTTTACCTTATCTCCCAGTTCTGTGTTTCGATGCATGCCAGTTAGAAAAACCTAATAAAATTGGCTTTCAAAATTCATACTGCAATTGATGGCTGGTATCACTAAGAAAACACACGAAAAAACAGAGCTGATGTCCAAGAACAGAGACTAACAGGTAGTATTTCACTAACAGACGGAGGGCCCACTAGTATTAAAGAAAGAAAACAGATTAGCAGAAGATTAAAAAAGAGAAAGTCAAAATAAAGCCAAGCCCCAGCTATTTCTCTAGCTCTTGCTCCAACAGCTAAACTTCCAGACATCAGAATCCACACATCCCTTTTGACTTTCAGCTCATAACCATTATCCAGACCTCACCTCTCTCTCTTTTCCCCCCTCTTTGTAAGATTCCTCCAGGTGAACACCTCAGTACTAGAGGTTTTTCAAAACTAGGAGAAGAGTTCAAGTGAGCTGTATTTGGAGCTGATGCAATCATGACAAAAGGATGTTGTTTTGATCTCAACACTACCCAGAGCTTTGTAAATACAATGAAGGAATAAAATAAAACCTCTATAAGCAAACTAATGAATAGTTGTCCAAAGTAAACAAAAAATTAAGGATACTGAAGAATGATTTCCTGCAACAAGCATTTGTCAACTATAATATCAAGAGGTGTTTCAAATGCTGAAAAACAGATCTTCTGGGTAGCATCACAATCAACAGATTTTCTAAAACTACCTAGCAATCTTTCCCAGCTACAGCCACCATGTACATCAGTTAAAATATGCCGATTATGGTCCTTCAAATCCAATAAGGAAGTACCACAGTTTTGGGTGGTACTAATCAAGCTTTCCTCTCCACCACTGCCTTCTTCACAATAGTGATCGGTCTTATTACCATTAGCAGATCCATGACAATCCAATGAAATTACAGATCCAATGCTAAATCCGGAACTTAATTGTAACTTGTCCTTGTAAACCTTACAAGGGTCCTCCACAGTTGAAAAATTGAAGTAAGGTAAAGGCTGTCGATGATCTGTGATGTACTTTTCTCCATTTCTACCCATCAAGCAAAGCAATGAATTCCTTGTCAACATAGGGTTCATGCTAAGGGGATTCATACTTGAATTATGCTTATGGACAATATTTTGTGGTTGAAATCTATATAACTTAAAGGAATGCATGTTATTATCAGATAGATTCTCACCCATGGCTTCCATACTCAAAGCATCATTAATGGCAACAGTATTAACATTGTATAATGTGGCATCCCTAAGCAACCCCAAATGTTTTCCCATCACCTTTCGCTCATCAATTTCATCTTCATCAAGTGATCTTTTCAAAATGTGATCGACTGACCAATAACTATCAATTAAACTGTCTCTATGTTGAGTACTGACTTTAAGTGAGCAGCTTGACTTTCCTGGACTCTGGGAATTTGACATGTGACTTGCCATTGGTTTTACATGGGAAGACTTCACAAAATGATCAACAGTATCGTTTTTATCACAGATTTTATGATGATTGCTATCTGACTTTTCAGATTGGCAAGAATTTTGCATTGAACTATTTATTGCAGTACTCTTGGAGAAGCTTAAAGCAGATACATAATCTTGTTGCTCAGCTACTTTATATGGCCATCTAATCAACTGATCAGTCTCAATTTGCTCCTCAGAGTTGTTTGAAGCTGAACCATCAGACAAATCATATGCTTCATCCACATATGAGAATTCATCAGCAGTGCTTGAGACATCAGAGTCCAAATTGTCAATGCCCCTGCAAATTGATATAAACTATCAATAAAGCAACAATGATGTTGAAAACAATATCAAAAAGATTGCTAGAACATAAAATGATAAAAATTAAAATTACAAATAGCAAACAAAAATGAATTCTGCCAACATATGCAAGTGTTTGCACACAAAAGGGGATGGAATGCAGAGGGAATATGATTAATTACATCATTGAACTTCTTTTTTCTGCTGTTTGCAGCGCAATGAACTCATCTTCTGACATAAATAGATTTAGGCTGTCCAAATTCCCTCCACCATTACCAAAGAAAGGTACTGAGGTATGTGTAGCAACCTGTAAAATCAGAGTTTTAATGAATAAAAGCAAATTAGAGCAGAGAGAAAAAAAGAAAAGAAGTCAGGTCACCAACATGGGATCTCAGTCCTTTTTTTCAATTCCATTCCATTTCCAATCAGACAAGAGTGACCAAAGGAAAAAGACATTATATACAAGACAGCACGACAAGAGGCATGAGAAAATATAAATACTATAGTTCGAGGACTATACTGCACAACAATAAGATAGCAGGCATCAAGCTTTCAAATGTCACAACTTGTAATAACAGAAGGTTTATGAAATACACAGAAAGTGGCAGAACAACAAAAAACTATACCAAGTTTTCAACCATGAGTACACTGTATACTATGGAGTGTGTGTAGAGGCTCATTAGGCATAGCATTTTTCTCAGTCTAGGCAGATTAGGCATGAGAGAGCAGTAATCTAAGTGCAAGACAGTTGGAATGTGTGTAGAGGCTCATGATCAAAGTGTTGCGCAACAATTTTCTACTTCCTATATCTCTTATCGTCTCTGTATTCTCTTGTATTTGGATCGGCGGGCTGTTTGATATTTGTGTTCTAATTTTAGTAATGTGTACTTTTCCATAGCAGAGCTTGTCTAGTTTTCCTCTCTTCTCTTATGCTATGGTATTCATGAGTATTTGCAAGTTAATATCTTTCATGCTTTCATCTCTAATCCGACCACCTGTAGTAAATATTTGGATGTTATAGTGAGACCAAGAAATAGGAGATCTAAGATTAGATCATGTAACTTTTAGGGAGGGATTATATAGAGCAATTTGTTAACTAGGATAGAAATATATCAGTTGCCCCTCATAATAATTAAAGGTTTGAGCATAATTGAACTTTAGGATAAGAAGCATAGAGAATATGGATTACCTTGCAATAGGCTTACTGTCGTAATTCAAAAGACACTTGTAGATAAAATCAATCCTTGTTAGCTCAAATGGTATCCCTTGCATAAAGGAAGGAGATAACAGATAGTACTAGGGAGTGGTTGAGAGAGAATTAATCCTAGTACTTTCTCATCGATCTGATTCTCATCTTACACTTTTTTGCTATTTTACTTCAGTATCATCATTCCAATTGCTTTTTGATAGGATCCAAGATAGGTAAAGGGAAAGAAGGAAGAAAAATCTTTGTTAAATTATGAAATCAAAATCCAACTTCATAAATTAGTAACAACAACAACAACAAACAACAACAACAACAAGCCTTTATCCCACTAGGTGGGGTCGGCTACATGGATTGCAAGACGCCATTGTGCTCTATCATTTATTAAGCTTTTAGAAATATTATTAATTAAGAGATCACGTTCAACAACTTCCAAGAGTGTTCTCTTAGGCCTTCCTCTACCTCTCTTAATCGGACTCAAAGTTATATGTTCCACTCTTCTCACTGGTGCCTCCCTTGGTCTTCTTTGTACATGCCCAAACCATCTCAACCGATTTTCTACCATTTTTTCCTCAATAGGTGCCACCCTCACTTTTTCACGTGTGTGCTCATTTCGAATTTTATCTTTACGTGTATGTCCGCACATCCATCGTAACATTCTCATCTCTGCTACTCCAACTTTATGCTCTTGCTGTCCCGTTAGAGCCCAGCATTCACTACTATATAACATTGCCGGTCTGATAGCAGTACGATAAAACTTTCCTTTAAGTTTATTAGGCACCTTACGGTCACAAATAACTCCTTTAGCTTTTCTCCAATTAAACCACCCAGCTTGAATTCTATGTGAAATATCTCCACTGATTTCGCCATCATTTTGAATAATGGCTCCCAAATATCTAAACTTTTCCACTTGAGGTATAATTTGATCTCCCAATTTCACTTCCAAATTATTTTCGAATAGTCCTTTACCAAATTTACAATATAAATATTCCGTCTTACTTCTACTCAGACGAAAACCTTTCGACTCCAATGTCCTCCTCCATAACTCAAGTTTGCAATTAACCTCTTCTCTTGTCTCTGCTATAAGAACTATATCATCCGCGAAGAGCATACATTTCGGGATTTCCTCTTGAATATGTTCCGTCAAAACATTTAAAATCAAGTTGAACAAATAAGGACTCAGAGATGATCCCTGATGTAGTCCAATCTTTATAGGAAAATCCTTTGTTTGACCACTAGGCGTTCTTATACTAGTTTTTACCCCCTCATACATATCTTGTATGGCTTTAATATAAGCAATCCGTACTCCCTTTTTTTCCAACGCTTTCCAAAGCACTTCTCTTGGTATACGGTCATAAGCTTTTTCCAAATCAATAAAAACCATGTGTAGATCTTTATCTTTACAACGATACTTTTCCATTAATCCCCTTAGTAGATAAATTGCCTCTGTAGTTGATCTACCTGGCATAAAACCAAATTGATTCTCAGAAATACTTGTCTCCAATCTCAACCTGTGCTCAATTACTTTCTCCCACAATTTCATTGTGTGGCTCATGAGTTTAATCCCTCTATAGTTAGTACAATTCTGAAGATCTCCTTTATTTTTATAAATAGGAATTAATGTACTTCTCCTCCACTCATCAGGCATTTTCTTGGACCGTAAAATCACATTAAATAACTTAGTTAACCATCTCACCCCTTCTTCACCTAAACTTCATAAATTAGTAAAGATGAATGAAAATCTTTAGTAGAAGATGAGTGAGGATTTTAAACTCATACAACTAATAAAGTTAAGGAGAATCTCTACTAATATAAATAAATAGATTTAATGCCAGATGATTTCTACATGCTATGAGCACAGTATTTATAGATAGAAAAATAATTAATAACTAAAAAGACTCCTATTAATCCGTAGCTCAGATAATGGAGAATAACTACCTAAAAAATAAATAAATAAATAAAATTACCTATTTAATCAAAAAGTACTATAACCCATTACTCCTAAACTTGAAGACCACTCAAGAAAACAGAAAAATAACCTAAATAACATTATTAAACAGAAAATATCTAAAATAACAAAAATAATATTTATTCCTAATATTTCTCTAACTTCCCACATCACCCATTATCCCATAATAATCAGTACCCTATCACTCTCATATTCCTTTTTTGTTTGGTCCAAGCTTAACCAGCCTATTTGTTTATCATTTGCTTTTGACAAACTCTGACAGAACAATATCTGACTTCTGTCCTACTGTGTGACCCCTGCACTTGCAGTGATCTCCCATTTTAGCGAACAATTTGGCCTAACACCTACTTATTTTGTCCAAACAGTAGTCATTTCAAGGAGGTTTCCCCGAGCAAGTATTCAACTAGATTGGCAGACTTGCCAATAATTTTTGTTCTTTCTTCTTTCTTCTTTCTTGGCTTTTGGTTCTTCATTGGCAAGGAGAATGTCTTGTATCTGCTAGCCATATAACATTATTTCTCCCCTCAATAAAATTCCTTCTCATATCACAGGAAAAATAATAAAAAAAGAAAGCTGAAGGAAAAAGTGCATTTTTTATACGGGGAACCAAATTAGAGGATTTGCTTACCTGTTGATATCTTATTTCTAAGTCACTGATAAGGCCCTTGAGCTTTTCATTCATCCTTTTATAATAATTGTCCCTTGCAAGCACCATAGCTTCAATATCATCTCGACTGAAAGTCAATGGAGACAAATATGATGGACCATCGTTTGCAAAACCACTCCAGCAGGGAAGAAAATCCTGAGAACTGTGGTCTCTTGTAGCAACATGAATGCACAACTCAAGCAATTTCAGCAGTACCTTGAGCTGCTGACCAGCTCTAACAAGTGGAATCAAGCTATCTCTAAGAAAACATGGAACAGCAACTCCAACTCGTTCCTAAGGTTAGCAAGCCGCAACCAACAAAATCAATATAGTAGCACAACCCAAAGTTATGATGCACGTCAAAATAGTCTCTGGATCATATTTTTAAGCATCAAAGAGGAAAACATTACCCTAAAACTTGCCATGGGAAAATCAACAGAAATGCCAGCTTTAATGTGTGGATTAGGAGGTAAATGGTCAATATCCTCAACAATAAACTCCTGATATGGGTCATTGATTTCTGCTTTGAATATCCATGATCTGATAAAACCACAGTATGGTTCAAATGATTGAAGAAAGAGAAACTTGAGCAGATTACAGTGAGCAGGATCAGCAACCTACATCTTAAGTAAACTTTGAGTTAGAAGAAATTCCAAAAGGAGAGAAACCTTGTAAACATTTAACATACGTTTGTTTAGAGAACACATCACCTAAAGAACTTGTTGCAACAATAATCTAACAAAACTAGGGGGAAACTATATATTTAGTAGAAAAGGAAGAGTTTAAGCACCTAAAAAGTAGGAGCAGCCATTCATTCAATTGCAGCCTCTCTTTAGAATCTATAATTCTTCCCATTGAAGATGTTATGAGATTTGCATGGAAAAACACCAAGAGCCAGCTAAGTTCTAACAATTACTCAACAGTCTTCTCGAAACATACAGGTGATTCAATGCTTGGAATGAAAATCATCTTTCTTTTTCACCATGTAAAGCATTGGAACCCTACCATATATCCAGTGTTTTAGTGGGTTAAAACCATGGTTGACCATAAAAACGTAGTCTTGATTCTACGTATACTAAGACCAACTAAATTCTTGTTTAATGTTTTAATCCTTCATTATAATTGCTTTGGATAAATAGAATTTATTGGAAGAGAAAAAGTAAGGCTGCAACCAGGATTATGAGAATAGTTCTTTTCAATCTTTCTTTAACTTTTGTCACAGTTTCAATATGAGTACCAGATACTTTGGGGAAAAAAAAAGGAAAGGAAAGGAAATGTGTATTATTTAGAACAGCAGTAATGAATGAAAAGATAGAGAAGAAAAGAGACAGGCTCACATTTAATTGTGTATACAAGAATGTTAGCAAATCTCCCCCTCTGTAGAAGTTACGAAATTCAGAAGTAGCATCAGCAATCAGATCATCAAAAGAAGTGCCAGACAAGCAAAGTGCCAACTTATGTAAATTACAAATATTTCCTAGGGCTTCAATCTGAGTCCTCAAGTCCTTTGTGTGCAAATAGAACTCAAGAAATGTAATTTCAGAATGCACCACACTCTTCAAACATCCTGATACAGAGGATAAGTGCAAAGACAATTCAACATCACTTGATGGACGCCTTAAAACTGCAGATGCATAAACTGTGTCCAACGCACAGATGTACCCTTCCAAAACCTTCCCCACAGCAACAGCAAAGGCTTGATTGACCAGTGTATTAGGAGGGCACTTTTCTTCCCCCATTTCATCTTTTTGATGATTTTTGCTTTTGCTAGTCAAACTGTCCTCCAACTTCATATTTGTAAAATATTCTACAAATTCACGAAGAAGAAAAACTAGCAACCCAGTGCAACCTATAGATTTAAGTACATTTCCCAGAGAATGAGTGCTTAAAGCTCGTTTCCACACACTTGAAATGCAATGGAAGGTCCTATCTGCTGGATTAGAACAGAAGATAGCAGAGAGCTTTTGAATACTAATAAGGGATGATTTTGCACCTTGCATAGCATTCATCACCAACCTCACCAAACTTGCTTCCTGAGGCCAAATTTTCATAACAATAAATATGGATACAGACATTGAACAAGGATGATTAGTATAGTCAAAGTATCTGGACAAAGTAAGATCATAGTCTCTTGAATCTTAATGCATCCACAATAGTAGCTTAAAAGAAGACTTGGATAAAGTAGATAAGTGAGAGGTTAGCTTATTTAAAAATGCTGTATGTGTTGGGAAATGTAAGAATTTGCTCAAATGTGTTGCATTATAATTCAAAAGCAATATACAGATCTGACATAAATGTTCCAAAAATTAATATCTATGCACGTTATCATGCCATTCTATAAGAGAATGTTGTTAAATGCAATGATGTTGAAGAACTGAAATCCAGAGCCATATTTTCTTCTTTAATTTTTTTTAAAGAAAAAGAATACCAGTAAGGTTGCTTAAAAGGGTTAGGTAGAGCTTCAGCATCATCTTTAATTAGCAACAGCCCTCAATAGAGAGCTAAGATCAAATTTTGCATCCGGAACAGAAAAATCTTCAATACATTTCCAAGGCAGGAATAATATGTGTAAAGAGTGATATCAAGAATTTATCGAACATTGAAAAATGTTTAAAACATATGAGAACCAATATTGGCCAGTCATGTTGGCTTGAAGTTACAAAATTTGAAAGAAACCCAAAGACTCCTAATGACGAGGTGGTTTAAACCTTTCACAAAGTGTATTTGCATTCATGCTCACAAGTCAATTTGCTAGCTCTTCACTAAAGAGCCACAATTCCCCAATGGTCAATGCCTAGTGGGCATTGATCTTTATAATAAATAAATAAATAAGATGTACACTGTACATAATTTTTCATGACATTTTAATTCAGAAATATCTGCAGCTGAAAATTAAATTTCTACGTCCATTTTAGCTTAAAAGGTTTCAGCTGAATCAAGATTAAGAAGATTTTACATCTCAAAATTCAAATAGCATGCCACGTGGAAGGAAATATATACAATCCCACGTGCAAGTGAATAAAGTAGAGTCACCCTAAACATCAATCTTCCTAAAATTCAGTAAGCCGAGTTATTTATGTGCTTATCCAACAACAGGGGATTTTACCAAAATTCAAGAAATGAATCCAGCTAAAAATTTTGAAAGTGCAATGTGAACCGAGCGACGCAAACCTAGTTCCCAACACTCTTGTCATCTGACTATCAAAAATTCAGGGAGTTAGGTAGCCAGCATGTCTCTTAACTGTGTCAAGATGCCCACAGATGTACATGACGCAGGTACTTACGCAAGCTGCTGGGATCGGGGAAAAATGTAGCATGCTAGACTACATTTCTCACACTTTCCAGACCCAATAACCCTCAAAATGATTACTTCCGAGAAAAGAAAACCCCAAAGCAGTCGCAAATTCAATCAAGCGAGACGATGGAGTATAAACTTACAGAGACAGTGGAGAGGTCATAGAAAGGTTGGTTTGAAGAGGAAGTTGAAGCATCGGAATGAGAGTGAAGGCCACTTTCAGAAGGGATAGATTCCCAGGTCTTCGGGGGAATCAATGGATCTTCAACCTTCAAATTGTCGAACAGCACCGCCAGATTTGTGTCAACAGCCATTGGATCGGCTGCCTCTCACAGTGTCAATGGCTCTTCTATGGTGTCCTCCTTCTGGCTCTGGCTGCTGATTCCCGCCCAAGTGAGCCGATGACGACGAACTGGTCTAGTTTGGAACGGTGCTTAAACCAGATTTTTTTTTTTTTTTTTTGAATATTTTGCCGCAAATAAAGAAGAAAATTTTCAAATATTTATTAGAAAAAACTAACCTAAAAATTATATTTCTTTATTTTTAGATTAAGTCTTTATAATTTATTTTATTTTATTTAAATTTTTATAAGTAAATCAATTAAATATATTAGTTCCTAGAGATTAGGGGAAGGGAGAAAGAAATCTCGTTTGGCTTAAATAGAGACGGATAAAAGAAGAAGAGGTTTTTGGATAATTTGAGGATTAAATATTATTATAAAAATAATTTTGTCTGAAAATATTTTTATTAAAAGCTCTACCTTGACAGGAGATGGGTAAGAGAGAAGCCACTGCAATTGGTGACGGGATTAAAGAAGGCTTCGATCAGCAAGAAAATCGATTAATGGTGTTGGGATCTTATTTATGACCTTCGTCCTCTTCACGTGCTCTTTTATTTTCAGATTCTAAGATTTATTTAGAATTGTAATTTTGTTGCTGTTTTTTTTTTTTTGGCCTGTTGTTGAACCTTGTAACACCCTTAAAAATACAAACCGATTTTTCGCAAATTATTAAAACCATTATCATGATAGAAAATTTTCTTATCATGATACATCCAAGACATAACATAAGTCTTAAAATATTCAAAAAGGCAATTAAAACCATGAGGGACAGACATAATCCTCATGGTCATATAAATACTTTTAATAAAAAGGATTAGAGTTTACATGCTCCACAAAGAAGATATGTCCTAAGTTGGCACAAGATACATTGTATAATCTAAAATAAGAGGCAACGTAAAAGATGGTGTCTCATACATCATAGTTACACCTCTGGTGCTTTCTCGGCCGGACTCGCTCCTATAAAAATATTAACCACGGGAAATGAGACTTAAAAGTCCCAGTAACCAAAAATTAATATGTAATGATGCATGTGGATGTAACTAATCATGCGATTGCTAAGTGGGCACACAAAACATTTAACCGAACAATATTTTCAAACAAACCGAACAAGTATTTAATTGCATGACTGCACCTTATATCCTCCTTTCGCCATGCTCGGACGCCAAATCACCCGGCCAAAGGTGAGTTGGACCAAGCGACACGCCACTCATTGGGTCCAATGAGGGCTTACCACGTGGTAATAATTAACCGAACAGAAATTTCCATTAACACCATACATTAAAATACCCTGACAAGTCATGCATCATTCAAATATCCAAACAGGAATATATCCGAACAATAATATCTCATCATGATAAACAAAAATAAATTTTTAACCCACTTGGCAATGATTTCACAGAAGTATATAACAGTATTTATTTTCAATAATTCATAATTTTTCCAAACAACAAAACAACACATAACCATTCACAAACACACCCATCACAACACATTAATAATGGTTACCTTGTGTCTTGAATAACAAGTTCCCCTTCACAACTCCTTTTTCACCACTATCTTTGTCAATATAATGTACATAATTATTTCACAATACTATATATTAATTTTACATTAAAATAAATAACTCTAATTTAAATAGTTAGAAAGTCTTAAATCTATAATCCATATTAACACTAATTTAAGATTTATGCCTCATTTAACTTCCCAAATTATTTTCTAAAATTCTCATACCCTAATAAACTATTTTTTTTATCCTCAAATCACTTCTAGTATCACAATTTCATCCTTCTATATTCTAAAAATTCATCCAAAAATAAATTAAAAATTTTAAAATTATCCTGAAGCCTCAAATCATCTTTCTATAACCTCAAAAATACCTGTTCATACTTAAATAAATATTTAATAATCATAGATTTATCCCTACATCACAAATTGCACATAAATTCAACCATATAGATCTAGATTTTAACTCAAAAATTCTTAAACATGAGTTTTAACCTCAAGAAAATATTCTATAATATTTATTATATCTCTAAGAGTTTTAACCTATATTTTTAATCCATCATATCATCAGATTAACTATCCTATAAAAAAATTTTAATCAAAATATTTACTCTATCCTACAAAATAATCATATTACTAGAAAGCTAATATTATTTAGAAAATAACTATAAAATTAATTTTGTAATTAAATAAATTTTTAAATGCTAATCTAAATAGGAAAGTTAGAACATACCTGAAGAAAAAGAAAATAATCCCCCCTTGCGAGAAAACGCCGAGCAACGTGAGAGGAAGAGAGAAAAATAATATAAAAATGGGATTGTGGGTCCCAAAATTATATTAAAAAAAAACTATAGGTCTGAATTTAATTATTCAAACCTTTGGGCCATAAGTTGCAATTTTCTCTAAATTGCATCTTAGCCTCTCATGCTTCCTAATGCACACATCCCCTTCTTTTTATACATGAAGGTACCTCTTCTCTTCCCTCATCTAACCAATGTGGGACTTAGAAACAACAACCTTCCACCCTTCCTTTTTTTGTTCCTTCTACCTTCTTTTTTTTAACACACACATAAAAAAAATTATTTATGTACTATATCTTAACTAAATATTGCTTATGTGGTTTTAAATTTAAATTTTTAAATTCATAATTAAATACCTAACCATAATATTATTTCTAAATAATCTCAAATAATATAAATTTCTATTATTATCATTTTTTTTCCTCAAAACCTAAATTCCACAATTTCTTTATTATATAAAAATCAGGATGTTACAAACCTCTTTTACAGTTTATATAGTTATTATATAGTTATAATATTTTCTCTTTTTTTTTTATGACCAGGGAATAGAAAACCAAACTAAATAACATTTTTTTTCCTTAATATGAACATAGGAATGTGAAACCAAATGACAAAAACAAAAATAAAAATAAACCATTCACTCATAATCAGTTAATAAGTGGGGTATCAAAAGTATTGAAATCACAGAATAATCTATGAATTAACTTAGAAAGATAGTCAGTCATCTTATTATCATTCTTATACAAAAAGTAAAAGTTCACAATCTAATTTCTATATAAAATAAAATTTATAGAATTGATGATATTCTAAAAAGAGTTATAACCATAGTTGTCCTTTGTGATTATTGAAATAATCAATGCATAATTATAAAAAAACCGCACATCTTTTTATCTTTTTGGCCAACATAACCCAAGTTCCTTGAAAACATTATACATGTCTTGTTGCAAATTGAAAATTGTCTAACTGGGGAGAGAAAATAGGTTAAAACCCATTAACACGCTAAAGGGCTTGTTTAGTGAGCAAACAAACAGCATTGTTGGTATCTCTTGAAATTCTTTGAGCATCAACTCTCCAGTTTTGAGTTAGGAGCACTCCAATTTCAATGACAACATCATTCATCAAGTGGTTTGGAGGAGTCTCATCCTTTAATATTTGGACAACTTCACACAAATCATATTTAAGGACAAGTTTTTTGTAGCTAAACCTCCATATCATTTTAAAACTTTACGAACACGCCCGACGTTCAACATATAGCAAGTCCCCATTAGTCATTTTGAACATAAAACTAGCTTTAAACTGGCTTTTAGAATCACTAATCAAACCTTTGTAACTCACAAGATCTTGGCTTGTAGAATAGGCATCATTCACATTAAGATCAAACCAATCCCCCTTTATCAGGCTCAAAGTGCTGCACAAGATAAGACCATTTGTTTCCTCCACACAATGCCTTCTAGCTTGCTCCTATATTCCTTAAAATGTGTTGTCAATAGTTAAGGCATGTGCGTTAATAGTTACATTTGAGGTAGACCTATCTTAAAATATTTTCTCAATCCTTCTTTTCCAAAGAGACTGGCAAGTTATGGAAAAGCATGATTTCTATGAAGTATCATGGTACTGCTTCTACAATCATATTTTCTATTTTATCCACTAATTGGGCTCTACATTATATAATGTCCTGCTACTCTCTTGATCAAGATGTTCCATCCATAGTCTTTTCATGTCAAGGCAATCATGAAGTGCATGAATGAAATCTTCAACATCTTTATATATTTCATAATGATCATTCACATGCATACTCCACCTCTTGCAACAACTTCCATATCTTCCTCCATGAATAAGAGGATGGGTAAGAGGAAGATCCCCTCCATAACCATAGGAAGCTTATAATAAAATTAAAACTATAGAGACCAATTTGAAAGTTGGCCTAAAATATAGGCATAATATAAAATTTCTCTAGTCATTACACTTCTCAAACCCATTTTTATTAAAAAAAATGATGAACCATCAAAGATTACAACTAAATTTAGCAATTTAAAACAGGGAAAATCACACAAAGGTTCATAGATGATTTTAATTATCAAAAAGTTTCAAGAAATGTAAATATAATTCTAAGGTTCCATGGGCTTTAATTACAAATAAGTTTTGGGGGTGCATTTACCAAAATACTCTCATTTAAAAAAAATCCTGGAAAAAAAAAATCGAGGATTGGGAAACCTAGAAAGACTGGAGCGAGAGCCTTAGTTGTCTTCCACAGAATCTCTTTGATTCACTCTTGTGCTTGCTCTCACAGGATTGCTTAGTCCAAGGTTTATGAGAGGTTGGTTTCCATGTCAGAGCCCGTTTGAGGTGCTTGATTAGCCCCATAGAATCAAACTCACCAAGGCCCAATTACATAAAGCAATGATTCAAGAATCAAGATCTAAGACCTTTGGTTTAATAAGAATCTTGTAAGAATGTTTGTATCAAATTATGATTTTTCAACACTAAAGTTTTTAAATTTCAGTATTCCTTCTATTATTAGTCAGTACTAAAGTTTTTAATTTAACATTAATATTTTAACAAAGTTTTTACTTGTTATTTTTTCTTGGATCAATTAAAAAAAGCCAAACTCTCAACACATGGGATCTTAATTAATACTTTACAAGAGCTAGAGGAACTGTACATAAAAGGTTACGAGAAAGTGCTGAAAAAGATTTGGTGTATAGGCCCAATTTCTTCGTCTAATAAACTAATCTCCAATAGATTTGGGATAAGTGATCATCAAAAGTGCATTGGTCAAGACTCTAACTAGTTGAAATTTCTTAATTCCCATCAGCCCTGTTCCATCATTGATGTTTGTGAAGTGACGAAGAATTCATATCTAGCACTGTCGCCACAATCAACAAGAAAGACTTGGTGGAGTTAGCAATGTTAGTGTCTATTGCTGACGGCAGAAAACTCAACCCACCACAGCAGAAAACCCAAGAAGGGAAGAGTTTTTCAAATTTTATAACCAAGAGCATTTTGGTAAATGCCTTCCAAAACTTACTTTTAATTAAAGCCCATGGAATCTCAAAGTTATTATCGTATTTCGTGAGATTTTTGGTGACTAGAATTCATTTATGGGATCTCTGTGTGACTTTCTCTTAAAAATATTTGTTTCTAAATTTCAAGAAATAATTTTAATATTTATAATTTATTTTTAAAATATAATGAGAATATTTTAAATGGTTAAACTAAAATTATAAGATTAAGTACACTGAGTTTATATTCAAGAACTTTAACCTAATTAAAATTATAAATACCAAATTGCATCAAATTCAAGTTTAAGATTTGGATTTCAAATTTTAATTGAGTTAAAAATATAAAAAGATGAAATGATTCATTATTAATTTTTTAAAAAAGATTTTTTTTTTGTAAATAAGACTTAAATATGTAGTTTTATATGTTTAATATACTTTTATATAATCAAACTAAAAGAAATAAATTTTAATACATTGATATTATTATTAATGACAGTAGTTTGTTATGGAATGATAAATAATCTATAAATAATTCATATATTTTGATTTTAATTTAAACCATGTATTTGTAAGTATTTTCCCAATTTTGTATTTAGATAAAATAAGACTACTCCCTCCGTTCAAAAATATAAAACATTTTTAATTGAATCTCACCTTTAATAAAGTAGTTACTTACTTTCCAACTAATCTTATCTTTTTACATTTATTCTTATTAAACAACTTACAATAAATATAAATTTATTATCAATAGGAATATTTTAAAAAAAAATGTAATGATTATATCTCAAAAGATTAAAAATTTTTTATATTTTTTAATATTTAATTTTTTAAAAAATAATATTTTTTAGCGGAGGAGGGACGTTTGTTCTTTTACATTATTACAAGTCATCTGCAAGGGAAAACGGAACAGCTGAACAGCAGATGCAAGTGAAACCCTCCTTCGTTCCCAGCTCTCTGCTTTCTTAATGGCTCGTCTTCTTCAAATCGCTCAAAGAAAGCTCGACGCTTCTTTGCCTTCGATTAGAAGTCGGACACACGAGGTCTCCGGTTGCGTCCACTCACTGAATGTCACTTCAACTTGTCTTCATCAAACTAGACGTTATGGAGCCCAGGCAACGCCCAAATCGCTCTTTGAATCTAACATTTTAAGAATTCTTCGAAATGAGATCGAGTTTCAGTCCGAGTACGCCCCTCCAGAACAGGTTTATACTCCTTTCTTTTCCAAAGTTTGATTTTGCTGGTATTTTTATGCAGATTTTTTCACTTGGTTGTTCATTCCCGCATTTTGGGGTTAAAATGACTTGGAGTTAGGGTCTTGGGAATTTACCAATTACCATTCCTATTACCTTGTTGTTAATAATTTCTGAATCTGCTTAGGTATGTAAATCCAAACTGTAAATATTATGAACAATACTATAATGATTGTGTGCACTCAAATCAAATGGTTTTCTATTTGAGTCTTGGCTAGATTTTCATTTGTTACGTTAGTTCCTGGAAAGAAACGACATAACTTGGTGAAAGAGGGATCTGGGTTAGATGTTGCTGGGAATAAATCCATGCCTTGAGAATTCATTGACTGGGTTAATTATACTAAAAAAATCATATTTATATTCAGAAGGGTTTTTTGTTTTTAAATTTGAATATAAAATTTTCGCTGTTTTTTATTCCTTTTAGTTATAATGGTCAGGGCATCCATAGATTGGGCTATTCCCTTAATTTTTACCAAGTGTATATTTATGTATGGTTTTTTATTATATATGTTTTTAAAGGAATTTTTATACATAGCATGTAAAATATTTTTCTTCACATGCCCCAAACCCTCTAAAATTCTTTTAAATAAAAACTCACTTTTGACATCCTTCCTTGGTCTGATTTATTCTATGTTCTCCAAAGTAAAGAAATAAGTATAAAAGACTTAAGAAAGTTGTTATGGAGTTACAATTACCATACTTGTATCATCATGAAAATTGGGAGAGACTATGTAATGTTGGAAAAGAAAATGAAAACGGATTTTCAGATCAATAAGTATGATATATGATATTTCATTATATTCAATACTGTTCTCATCTTTCTCCTTGTATTTTATAGCTTTCCATTATTGTTAAACAACTTGGAAAGTATCCACATTGTAATAAAGCTTGTTTCATTAAAAAAATGCCTTTTTTCCTAAACAATGCAGCCTATGACAAAATTCAACTCATTCACTGTTCAAGATCGACCAGGTGAGCAGTGGATTACAATGAAGGGAAGTTTTGGGGACAAAGAAGAAATAAAAATTGAAGCTACCATGTTTGATGGGTATGCACAGGTTCCCAAGCTTGGAGATGACAGTTCCGGGGTGAATGTCCATCTTCACTTTAGTCTACTTGTGGATATTTCAAAGGAGGAGTTTGGCAGTGAATTGGAATTTGTCTGCTCAGCATGGCCAGAATCTTTAGAAATCCAAAGAGTTTACATCCTAAGGCGTGATCGGATGCATGCTATGCCTTACATGGGACCTGACTTCAGGTTTGGCATGTTACAAGCTACTTTGAACCTGAAATTTTTTATAGCTGGTTTGAAGTTTCTTAATGGGAATTGTTAGTGATTCTGTTCTGGTTCAATTGCTGATTCAGGACTCTCGATACTGAAATTCAGGAGAAATTTCGGGAGTACTTGAAGACAAGGGGGATAAACAATGAATTATGCATTTTCTTGCATCAATATATGACTAACAAACATAGAATCGAGCTTCTAAGGTATTTGAGAAATGTCAAGTCTTTTGTAGAAAATAGAAGGATAAGCTTTTGGCTGGTAAGATTATTGGTATGAACACTTCACTTTTTCGACTGATTTAGTTTCATCAGATGAAAATTCATCCATCAACCCTTTCTTCAATATTTGACTATGGTTTTCCTTTTAGCAAAGAGATTCAGCAGGGAGAAGAAAATCTGCAATAATAATTATAATTCTTTTGTAAGTAGTGTGACTCTGTTTTTGACGTCGAGGAACTTGTACTAGTGGTTTTGCAAAGTGCTACAATGTCTGCTGAATCATGCTATAATACTCTGGAATCAACTTGATTTGGACCTCCGGAAATTATTTGCATTGAAATTTGACATAAATGCTAAGAAATACTACCAAACATATATGAAAGGCAGAATGCTTCGAGTATAACCAGAAATGGCAGAATTATATACAACCAAAAAGACAACCCTTAAATATTTCCATGCTATATGTAATCATTCATGTTCCACATCTTATTGCCCCTTTCTTTTGGGTAAACTACGAGGAACTGATAATTTTGGTCTACTGGATATTTCAAACTGTCTAGTTAGTGAGAATGATAAATGATTTGTTGTGTATGTTTGGTATACAGAAAAGTATTTTCTAAAAAAATATAACAAGTGTTCCTATTTTCTTTTTAAAAAACACTTTTTAATTCCTTACCAAACGGTGCATTAGTGCTTTGACATTGCTGACACTTTTCACATGTACAAGGCACTCAAGGGAAATTTTATAGATGCAATGCAATTGCTGCTCTTATTGATAAATCTCCTATCTAAAAAGATCAGAATCTAACTTTGTAAGGCATGGATATGCTGCACCTTAATTTATATTTATTTTTTTGAAATTTAGGAACAAAGTCCATCCATCTCTCTCATTTCTGCTTCTATTTTGGATCCTTCTTTTTCTGTTTTGTACAAACTTTGCATGCATTTCCTTGTAGTGGTTCTGTGCAATGGATTTCAATAGACAAAGGCACAGGGATCATCACTTTGATTGGCTTGAAAAGCAGCTTTGCTCTTCTGGTTTTTCACTTGGTGAATGAGGCAACGTGAATAAATTGTCGTTGCTTTGGCTTTTTCATTCGACATTATAAATTATAAGTTGTTCAGGACATCTTTAAATAACAATAAATGCTATGTTACATAAATTTTATTTAGAAACTCCTTATATGGGAGAATGACAAATAAGAATCTTGTAAGAACATTAATGGCAAATTAAGAACTTAGTATTAAACATGATAGAAGGAGTATTGAAATTTGAGAACATCAGTGTTGAAAAATTTTAATTTAACATTAATATTCTTACAAGGTTCTTATTTGTCATTTTCCTTAATGTTATTTTTCATATATATATATATATATATAATTGTTTTGGAATTAGTGTTATTAGTTTTAGAATCTATCTATCTTGTCACATTTTTATGTAGGATTAATGTTTTGTACGCACGTGTTTACTAAGAAAATGCGATAAAAAATATAAGAGCTTTCCATGATAATGATCTCTTGTAAAAAGAAAATTACACTTGATACAGAAAATATTAAAGCCTTCTCTTATTAACGAAGACAATGCTCAAAATAATGAGCAAGCTTGGTTGGCTCACCTTTAGAGAGAAAAGAAAAAAAACCAAAAACACTATTTTTTCTCTAAATTCAATCATCAAAATGTATAATATATTGTGTGGATATTATTAAATTGATGAGAGAAGATGAAAGATCTTGGTCCCTTATCAGCTGTACATCACCCATAAAATTAAACTTCATAGGCGTGAATCGTGATTGTCCTTTTTTTTTTTAATAAAAAGATACGATCAAAATTGTGTAAGGGTTATAAAAGTCAGGTCATATCAAAATTTAAAATAGTCTTACATCCTATAGGTGATTTATTATAAATAATGAGATCGTAGTTGTCATGAAAAGTTTTGCATGTGAGCAAATTAACGCATTCATTTGTTTATTTAAAGACGTAATCAAAGGTGATTGTTCAATCTTTCATAGCAAGCTCCTTGATTTTCTTGATGTTTGTCGTTAAAGGATGACTATCAAAAAAATTATGTTAAATAAGTGAGAGAACTTCTATGGAATCAATGTATAAATTGATCTTTTTAAGTTTAACATTTCAACCAAGCTGGAAAGCTTCTAAAATGCTTGATAATTCAGCTGTAGTATTAGGTTGATAGTTAAGATATCTTGAGAATTTCATAATCTAATTTCCTTTCTCATCGTGAATGACTCTATCACAAGTCAAAGCACTAAAGGAGTTAAATCGTGATTATTCTTTTGGTAACAAAACATATGAGTTCATAACACAACATGAAAATTTGAATTAACATATTCAACCAATGAATCATTAGATTAATATTTTGATTGATTTTATAAAATATTTTGTTCATGATCAATTTAATTATAACTTGATTATATTTTTAATTATTAATTTTTAAACTAGTGTCTTAATTAGTTCAAGAGAGTAGCTTAGTCGTTACAACGAATGATGATTATTTGAACAGTGCATAATGGACGCATACTTGACATTGTAAAAAGGACAAGACCATAGGTGGGCGCAGTGGGCAAGCGTGGTGAGATTTGAGAATCCAACTGTCAAAAGGTTGAATGTTGGATGTGGCCGACAACAAATATTCAGTACTATGTCATGTTTGATGAGTGAGTGCATAAAGAAGTTGCTCGGTAATTATAAACACAATGACACTGCTCGGTAATTATAAATAAATGGGCGGCGACGGGCCATTGAATCCCTAATTTTTTAATTTTTTTAATAAAATGTAAGGATTATTTTAACTTTTTTTTAGTCAACGCATTATTGAGATTTAAAGATTTTAAATAAAATTTTCATTTCAACTTTATATATAATTTTTTAGGCATGTATTGTCTAACTATTTTAATATTTACTTATTTTTAATAGGATAATATTATACTTGTTTTTAAAGCATTGATGATGTCATTTGATTTCAATTTTATTTTATATTTGATGAAAGAAATTATGAGTATTATTACTAATAAATTTTGTCAAGCAGTGCAACAAAAATTTCAAGATATATTATATATTATATGATTGATATCTACTATAAAATCACTTATATAAAAGTTAAAAGATTATTGTTAACATATATTCTTTTGGAAAAAAATTCAAACTACTAAAATTTATCATATGAATAGTTTTTACTATAGTATACTTAGATCTTATTGATATAAAGAATTTGTGACAATTGAACATGACTGCCGTGTTAATATATAATATATAATTATAAAAATTAAATAGTAAATTTAACAAGCAAGTAGTAGAGTTGTTTAGATTGAACAAAACTTTAAATCTCAATGATGCATTAGTATTTTATATTGAGAAAAAAATTGCTAAAAACTTTATCATCAACACAATAATTAATTATTCTTATGTAATTAAAAATCAACGAGCAAAACTTAAAAAATAAATAATATATTTATTTTTATTATATATATGTAAAATTAAATATAAATAACTACATTGAAATATTTATATTATATTAATGAGATATATATATATATATATATATAATTTTTCTTTAATTATTATATATGTTTTATTATTTTAGCCCTCTAATAAAATTTTCTAGCTCCACCTATATATATATATATATATATATGAGAGAATTTTAGTAAAGAATATGAACGTAACATATTTTCATATCACAACCAAAATACTTTGATATTTTATTATGAGACCAAATGATTAAATGGAAATTATATTTTGACAGACAATTATTGAAGTAGTTTTTATTTATTTTTGAAAACATTTTAGCCATCATTGTTAGGGCTTTGGTCACTAGACCTCTGCCATCTTCACTAGAGCTCCAGTGACTAGTGGGCAGCAGTCAATTGTTGAAGGGAAATTTAATCTCACAATCTCTTGACTTGGTAAAAAGAGACTTATCATCGAGCCTCTTAAGTAATATAATGCAAGCAATAATATATATATATATATATATATATAAAGAGCCCATCCCCTAACTATTACTTTCTTATGATATGAATATAACATATTAAATCCTAACTTTACTTGTTAAAACACTAACTCAAATTATTTTAAAGTAAATCAAGTTTTTAAATAAAAAATTGAATGAACAATTATAGTTAAATAATTAACAAATTCTATTGATGAATGAACAAGTAATACAATGCTATTGAGAGAGTTAAGAATTTAATAAGTAAAGTTATATGATTAATAAGTAATATAATTTTGTTGAGAAATTCATAAATTTAATAAATAAAACTAAACAAATAATATGAAAAAATTGACACGTAAATTTACCCTAATAAAAGCACCGTACATTTTATCCCAAGAAAGAAAGACAGTAAAGATTGTATGGTCTATATCACCTTCCCTCAAGGAGGCAAAAAGAAGCATCCTAATTAAAGTAGAAAAATAAGAGTTGGGTTTGAAGGGTTGGACTTAAATGTCCTTTTAAACAAAGATTTGGATTTAAAAAATTGGAATTTTAGATCTGGCCCTGATAGGCCCTTTAAAAAAAAAAATTTGGACTTGAGCTTGAGCTTGGACTGTCCCTTAAATCCTATTTCCCAAAAGATTGATACTGATCTTAGTATCTCATTGTTAAAATGATTGATATTGATTCTTTTGCCATTTATGTTAACACAATTTTAACAAATTTTTATTAATTTCTTAACACAATTACTTTGTAGGGTCTGTTTCTTAATTTTGATTAATATTATATTCTATGATACTCAAATTTTTGTATTTATTGAATTTGATAAGATTGATTTAAATTGAAAGTTTTTGTTGTCATTTTAAAACTTAATCAAGATTCTATATCTAGATTTGTATTTATTTATTTTATTAAATTTATATTTTTTAATTTTAAAAAATAAGTTTACAAGCTTAGCCTTAATTCTTTTAAATAAGGGTTGAGTTTAAAAATAAATTATTTTTAAAAAAATCAAGTTCAAGAACCTTAGCCCTTAAGATTAGCCTGCCCAATTCCCATCACAAGTTAATTCAAGGACATACTTCTAATAAGAATTTTGATACTATAATTTTTAATAAATCATTTTTTGGGTACAAAAATTATATAATTTCTGACATATTTTAATTCCACTTTTTTGTATAGTTTTCCAGGGCCTTTTATTCCAGGGGTAAAAACAAAAGACGCGTGATGTGAACCTAAATCCAGAGACGACTTTGCTATTAGTGACTTATTGTTGCCTCCTCTTCTTCTTCCTTCTTCTCAGGCACCATACTTCACATCATCGCTATCTGCTCGCTCCTATCATCTTCCAAACCTCAAGTAAAACTCGAGTAAGCAAACCAACTCTCTCTCTCTCTCTCTCTCTCTCTCTACTTGCTTGTTCGTTTCAGACTCTGTCTCTGACATGGGTTTCTTTATCGCTTCACTTTGCTTTGTTTGGAGAGATTGAATGCGAGAGTCATGGAAAAAGCAGGAGCTGGTGGAAGGCCAAAGGCAGTTGACATGTGGGAACACGTCACGGTGTTGGAAGGGAGAAGAGTAAGGTGTAAACATTGTGGCTTTGAATTTGCAGCAAGTGCTAATCGCATCAAAGCCCATATTAATCAGATCAAGGGTCAGGGAATTCGACTGTGTCCTGGTTCTCCTCAGCCTAACAATACCAATTCCAACAAAGTCACCAGTGATCTCAACGAGAAAGAGGACTTCCTTCTTGTCATTGATGACTTTTTTCCGCAAGAAGACCTCCTTCATCCACAAGGTACGAAATAATGTTATTTATTTTTTACTTTAAATGGGAGAGTGATGTTTCAGTATCTTGTTAGGGTATTATTAAACCATTTATTTGACAGCTATTATAACAATAGTATACTTTTATAACAATTTTTTTGGGCTTTGAAGAAGGGAACGAAGTGTAATAATTTCTTGCAAGATTATCATTCTCTATGAATATACTCCTTCCCTTCAAAAATATTTCGCATTTTTTGAAGGGTTTGACCTTAAAAAATATAAGAAACTTATGTAATCATTATTTTTTTTCCTAAAAATATCTCTATTAAATAAATTAATTTATATTTATTTTAAAGTAAAATACTTTATTAAATAAGAATAAATATATAAATATAAAATTAATTTTAAAATAAATAATTAATTTATTTAAAGGAAAAATTCAGTTAAAATTTCTTAAATTTTTAAACAAAAGGGGTATTAATTGCTTGAGCACGTATTATTATTTTAACCCGCAAAAGGGCTTTTTGTCTCGGACCTCATATGCAGAGCTGCAAGGGTTGGGATGCATTTTTCTAATTTTAAAATTTAAAATTTTAATTATACTAACAATTTAATAAATTGTCTCATTTTTTATATGTTAATTCAAGAATTAAAATCAATCAAATAATTTTAATCATATTATTTTGCAACATCCATAATTTCAACTAAACAATTCTTAACAATTTCAACTACCTTTTAATTGGATAAAAAAGCTGGGCCTAACGAGTTAGCCCAACCTTATTTTTTAACATATTTATTAAGGTCAAGCTTAAAATTCCTTTTAGGCAAAAAAAAAAGCCTCATTTTTTATAGTCTGTCTCTAAAAGAAAATGTGAGATTGAAACTGGCGTTATTAGTTTGAAGGCCTGGCTTGTGTTCACGGGTCTACTCACATGCAAACTGTAAAATCAAATCTAACACCTGCAACTCATCAACAAAAATTATCGCCACAACATGATTCTCAGTTATGTGTGTGTATATTATATTATTGTTTTTAAGAAAAAAAAAGGATTACACCTACAAATTTTATTGTTAAGTTTTCATTTACAGAGGATGAAACTCAAATGCCAATTTTGTTTTTAGGGAAAAAAAAGGAAAACCACAAACTAAGGGCTTGTTATTGTTTTCTGTTTTTTAAAACTTTTTGTTTTTTTGTTTTTGAAACCATAGAAATTTAAAAACTTGTTCGATGAAGTGTTTCCAATTTAATTATTTTCAAAGCTATTTTTATTTTTTGTTTTTAAAAATAAAAAAAATAAAAACAACTTCAAGTTATTGGTAAATAGAAAAAAAAAGAAATAACTTCAAGTTGTTTTTGTTTTATTTTTCTTGTTTTAAAAAATATTTTACATTTAATTATTAAAAATTTTAATTATTTTAATCAATTTTTATCATGAATCACCACCATATTAATCGCCTATAAGTATCATTATTAGTTTATTTTTTAATTTTAAAATAGTTTTAAAATTAACACGAGCAAACATATTTTCATTTTATTTTGTTTTCAAGAATAATTTTAAAAATTGCATTACAAAATAGTTTTAAAAATAAAAAAATGAAAATAGAAACCAAATAGGTCCTAAGATCCTATTTGTTTTTTTTTTTAAAAGCTATTTTTTTAAAATAAAAAAAATTAAAAACTTGTTTGGTTAAGTGTTTTCGATTTAATTGCTTCTAAAACTGTTTTCATTTAAAAAAAAACAAAAATAGAAAAAACTTCAAGTTGTTTTCATTTTAATTTTCTTATTTTTTTAAATATATTACATTTGATTATTAAAAATTATAATGTTGATCAATTTTTATCATAAATTACTATCATTAACTGCTTGTAACTATTACTATTAATTTTTTTTTAATTCTAAAGCTATTTTTACATTAACACAATCAAACAAATTTTTATTTTATTTTGTTTTGAAAAAAAATTTAAAAATTATATTATACAACAATTTTTTTTAAAAAAATGAAAACAATAACTAAACAGGTCCTAAGACCAATATCCCTGGTACTAACTTGACACCAGCACCAGAGACCTAAGCCTACGAACCCAGGCATATGAGACGCGTACGGACAAATTAATATTAGTGATAAACATCACCCATGTTTTTGTATATATTGCGGATTGTGATGATTAGTATATTAATTCTAAATAAGATATCAGCTTTTCTTATTATTTATAGGAGCGAGGAATGAAACATTATTGCTTGATTGTTATATGTCCTCCAAACACACTGAAGCTATACAGCAAGAGGGGATTCATGTGGGCCCTTCCTCTGTTTCTCATATGATGAATGAAGCCGACTTGCGGTTGATTCAATATGTTTTTGAACAATCACGCAGGTTAGATTTATATACATTCTTCGAATTATGTTACTAAATAGTATTTATGTGTATTTGTTTTTTTTAGCTTAAATATTAATCACTTATCTTATATTTTATTCAGTGATGAGACAATTTTCTCTTCACCACGTTTACATTTGAAACAATCTGAATTTACCACTCTTAGACCGGAGACCTTTTGGATTCATGGGTGAGTATTTAGTTATACTTTTATTCTAATTTGTTATTATTGAGGATTGTCTTGGTTATGTTAAAGAGCCCAATTTTTCTGTTTTCCTAGGTAATAGATATTTTGTCTATATCTTGACGGAGATTGAAAGGAACAGAAGTAAACCTTTGAATTGCTATGTTCCAGTGATATTTTCGGTGATATCTGATTCCCTTTTTAATTTGATGATATATGTTAGTCCTTGAATCTAAAAAGTTTATTGACAAGTATTTTTAATGGTTCTTTTGTTATAGAATAAAGCGCTCCAAAGTGATGTAAGTTCCTTCCTTAAGTTTGTTGAACGGCATAACATGAGAGAAAACTACATGTTTGACTTGAAATATTGTGAGAAGGTATTATCTATTTGTCTTGTTGTCGTTGATGTTTCATTAATTGTCCTAACAATTGCTCTTTTGGACTATATATATCAATTTGATTTGTTTGATCACATATTGCAGATATTTATTCCTGTTCATGTTGAAAAAAATCGATGTGGACATTTTTATTTATACATTATTCATGTGGAGGATCAAGTTGTTGAAATATGGGATTCTCTTCGCGATCAATTTATGGATAAAACTGAACGTGAACAAATAACAAAAAAAATAGTAAGTATTAAATAATTGTAACATTCATATAATTAGTAGATTGATATTGATATTTTAATTCTATATATAAAATTAATCTCGTACATGTAGCTGCTTGTCATGGAGACACTCTTCGAAGATGTTATGTCCACAAAATTTCACTGGAGAATGGCAAGCAATATCCAATCACAGTCTAATGGGTGAGTTTATGAATTTTTTTATTCTAAATTATAAGCTTTATTAAAACAAGCATGCATCCTGACCATGTCATATTTCTTCAACATGTAGATACGATTGTGGTGTATTTGTTATCAAATATATGCAACAATTAGATAATTATGTGAGGCAAAATCCTTCATTTCAGGTATGGTCACTTGCAAACTATTATTGTTAACCGCTCTATACATATTCATTCACACATACACACGCATATGTACATTGTGCAAACACTTTCAGTCATATAAATGATATGGACAAAATGTGTAGTTTGACAGTAATAAAGAAAGATTGGATTTGGCTTTAGAGTTGCTCAACAGTGACTTCAACCAAGAAAGAGAAATACTATCTCATAAAGCAACAGGAAGCTATGCGCAAGTCCACAGTGAAGAAGATATAGATTCATGTGGAATTAAAAGAAAGCAGGTTGATACATGCAAAACAATATTTGGTGGTGGAAAAGGGGCATATGTGGAATTGGATGATTTCAATGACAGAGTCAAGAGAAAAAATGTTAGCTCGAAGACAGGTATATACTTCAACTTCAATTATTATTTTTTAAACAGAAACTTCAACTTAAATTATATAGAACCCTTTTTTGTAGTCATTTATACAACAGTTTAATTTGTATATATTTTTTCTAACTTCTCTTAAAGTAAGTAATAATTATCCTCATATCGTACTATATTTTTATATTTTATCCTTAGCACTTCCTGTATTTAAAAGAAATAATTCCTATCGTCACTTCGTGCTAATCGATTATTCCTATTTTTGCTGCTAGGATGTGTTTATGTATTGCCGACAACCGAGTTAGTGGGAAGATGTTTTAAATGGTATAGTCAACGAATATGGAAATGGATAATGGGAGATGAGGTGTCAACAATTGGGATATGGGGAATGGGAGGGGCAGGGAAAACATTTCTAGCAACTCATGTGCATAACAAGCTTTTAGAAGAAGCCGGTGATGACTTTGACCAGGTTATTTGGGTTACTGCATCACAATATGGTAGCATTTATGAGTTACAAAAGGCCATTGCAAGATCAATTAATTTGGACATATCTGATGAGTGTGATGTGAAAAGAATATCTGGAAAATTGTTGCAAGCATCCAACCATATAAATAGGTGTGTCCTAATTTTAGACAATATTCGGGATCCTATCCTTTTAGGAGAAGAAGTTGGATTTCCTGTTTCAAATGATAGGATTAAATTGATTTTGACAACTCGTTCATGGGAGGTGTGCCAGAGTATGAATTGTATGGAGAACATAATAGAAGTAAAACCTCTAGATGATGAATTTGGAGAAGATTGGGAATTGTTTGAAAAGACTCTTGGAATCCATCAAATGCAATCTAGTGGAGTGGAGTCTATAGCAAGGACCTTGGTAGAACAATGTGGGGGTTTGCCCCTTGCTATTGTTACGATAGCGAGAAGCATGAAGGGAAAAAAAACAATATAGAGAATGGAATCATATGTTGGAATGCCTTCAAAACTTGCGCAATGGGCAACTTGATATGGAGAAGTGGATATTCCCGGTGTTGAAATCTAGTTATGCTTGCTTAAATAATAAATTGTTGCAAAGTTTTTTTCTGTATGCTGCATTAAGTGCTGAATATTATAATGAAGAAGATATTTGGTGTTTGATCAAAAGATTTTTCATTGAGGGATCCACAGATGAGACAAAGAGCTTGGAGATGCAATATAATGAAGGTTACACCCTATTGGATAAATTAAAGAATGACAGTTTGGTTATTAAAGGGGGGGGTCAATGGAGAATCCATCCTTTGCTAAGGGGCATGGCTATTAATATTGCAAAGGCGACTGAGGAAATTATAGCAAAATCTGATATGAATTGCATAGAAATACCGGAGAATAGCGAATGGCATGAAAATCTACAAAAAGTTTTTTGAGAGGAACTGGAATACAAAAAATTGTAGATGGCACATCTCCTAAATGCTCTAAACTTTCCACATTGCTTTTAGATAATAATGATTATCTCGAATGGATCCCAGATAATTTTTTTAACAACATGCCTGCTCTTAAAGTACTCGATTTGTCTAGGACTAGCATTAAGCGTTTGCCTGAATCTGTCTCTAACTTGAAATGCCTCATCACATTACTTTTGAGATGTAAGAAATTGAGTTACATGCCTTCATTAGAAAAATTGCAACGGCTAATGTGGTTGGACCTTTCAAATACTGCCATTATTGAATCACCTTATGGCTTGGAATTGTTGATCAATCTTAGATATCTTAATCTAGCAGGTACAGTACAGTTGAAAATGTCATCATCAGTGATAACCAATATGACCGATCTGCAGTCTCTTAGGTTGAACTGTATCCCAAAATCAATGGATGGGAGTGCACATGTTCTACAATGTTTGGGAAAGTTAGAATATATGACAGCCAACTTTTATGACATTGAAGAGTTTAATTCCGATGTTCAGAGTTTACAGGTCAAAGATCGCGCCCTCAAAGGTTATTATTTAAGTTTAGCTACATCATATGATGGTTATCTTTTATTTTATCCTGAACATGAGGTCCATTCCTTAAAATGGGTTGTCTTTGGTGGTATTGATTTGGAAAACCGAGCAGAGTTATATCTTCCAGAAGACATAAAGGAGTTGATGATTACACATGCACATCACCATTGGACAGGAACAACATGTCTATGTCAGACTTTGTCATTCCCTAAGCTAGTCAAAATTGAATATTTGAGGATGCATGAATGTGATAAGCTTGAGAACTTGTGTTGTGGCTCTCCCACTTGCCCATTTTGGTGCAGTGTCCAATTTATGCAAACATTGAGGCTCACATGTTTGAAAGACTTGAAACAAATAGCGGCATCATTTGCTCCATTTTCTCACCTCCGAAAGCTCAAAATGCATCATTGTGGCAGCATGAGGATTCTGATGATGTGGGGATTATTTGCACAGCTCCAAAACCTAGAGGCCATTCATGTAAGCGGTTGTGATTCAATGGAAGAAATAGTTGGAGACGATTGTAGCGGTGAAACTATTCCCCCTACCACCATCACCCTCCCCAAACTGAGACTTGTGGTCTTGGAGCAGCTTCCAAAATTAAAGTCCGTATTCAGAGGAACCCTACTCTGTCCTTCTCTCAAATCTTTTAGAGCCATCTATTGTGAGAAACTAATTAGCCAACCTCTGATAGAGATTGCAAAAGGAAATGCGCTTCAGATGGAGAAGAAGGAACTCTTGAATGGATACGGTTGGCAAAAAGAGGTGCATGTCTCCTCCAAAACTCAACTTTCTTTTATTTTATGGGTGCCACTTTGTCACTGTTCGTTTGCTCGTCCACCCTCTTTTTTTGTTCTCTCTGTTTTCTATTTTTTTTTTTGGGTTGAATCATTCCTTTAACCTTCTTTTTATTTTTTATTCTGGTTAGCAGCCTCGACCAAATTACCATTGATTTGATAAAGCAGGTCCACATTTCCTCCTAAAAGTTGACTTTCTTTTATTAGAAAGTTAAAATAACATTTTTTGCTTTCCAAGTATTCTCTTTGGACTACCATAGTTGTAAGCTACATCTCAAGATCACGTGGATATCATATTATGTCAATGAAAACATATATATCCTGGTGTTGGAGTTCATGCATCAACTTTATTTTGCGTCAGAATTTCTTACCCAGTGCTCAATTGTCTAATGAAAGTACTAAGTAATATCATGATGACTCCCTTGTTCATTGAAAAAAAAAAGAGAGAGGCAAAAATGACAAATTCAATATATTTTCTTAATAATAAAATTTTACTTGATATAGTACTTTAGTGCTTAACATGGTACGACAATGCTAATGGCCATATATATTAATGATTTTGTAAATTGCGTTGAAGAATTGATATTTTATGTCGCACAACTCACGCACCTGATAGAACATGTACATATTTTAGAACAAGTGCTAGAAAGATCTTTACAAAGTGTTATTTCTAGACTGAAGACCAAATGCATTTTCAAGATATATAGGGCTGTTTGTTTTCAATTTTTAAAAATTGTTTTTTGTTTTTTAAAACAAAAAAATTAAAAAACATATTTAGATAAGTATTTTCGATTTAATCGTTGTCAAAATTGTTTTTGTCTTTTGTTTTTTAAACAAAAGAATAGAAATTATTTTCATTTTATTTTTTCTATTTATAAAATATGTTACATTTTATTATTAAAAATTATAGTTATTTTGACTAATTTCTATTATAAATTACCACCATTAATAGTCTATAATCATCATTATCATTCTATTTTTAATTATAAAACTTTTTAAATTAATATAACCAAATAGATTTTCATTCTGTTTTGTTTTCAAAAATAATTTTAAAAAACTATATTATAAAACAGTTTTTTTGAAAAAAAAAAAATAAAACATACTCCTACTCTCCCCAAACTAAGATATGTGTACTTGCATGATCCACCAGAATTAAATTCCGTATTCAGAGGATCCATGCTCTGTCCTCTCAACAAATTTTATGCCTCAAATTGTGAGAAACTAAGGAAATGCAATTATATGGGGATATCATTTATTTACAAGGTACATAGATGAACATCATTGGTGTTTGTGTTATTTTTCTTTATGTGAATTTTAAATCTTTGTCATTAATTTATGTGAAACATTAAATTTTTGTTTACAATTGCTCTGTTTTTGCCTTCACTCTGTCATTTGGATTTTAGTCTAGCACTTCATTTTAGAGATGACCAAACTTGAATGTTGATCAATTTTGGGGTCGTTGCCAATAAAAAAGGTCGTGCCCTTTTCAACTTCAATTTAATCAGTCTTTTGAAAGTTTGAGAGTGCATATATGTTATTTTGATTATATCAAGTAGAACTTCAGATAAACGTTAACTATACCTAGCCAATTTGTGGCATATACATCTTGATGTTAATTTGTTCTTTAGAGTTCAATCCGTGCCTTGCAATTTTGGGTCTTTTAAAACCCAAAATGCAGGTTACAAAATCAAATGGATATGTGTTTGAAGCTTGGCGAAATATTTAACTTGTTCTTTGACGTTTCTGGAAAGAGGGCTACTAGACAATTCCTTGATTAAATTTATACCCTGAGAATGCATTGATGCATTAGAAAATGAGATTGATATGCTATATTTTTCTTTAGTCCTATTCCTAAGGTAGAGAAAGAAAAATAATTTTTGTCTTATTTATAGAACATTTCACTACACTCATTTTTACCTTTTTGTCTTTACTAAATGTTAGAAAAAATTATTAAAAATTATTATTTTGTTTCTTATTAAGGTAGAGATGAAAACTTATTAAATTTTAAAATAAAGTTAATGAGATTTAATGTTTTATATGATTCCGATAAAATATGTTAAAAGTGAATTATGAATATAATCAGAGAAAGCATATATATGCTTCTATGCTTTCCAGACTCCTCTTCCAAGGAATAATGTTGGGTCTTTGTTGAATTTGAATATAAAATTTTCATTATTGGATTGCATTGAATTTATAATTAGCTGAGAAGATATTTTAATAGGAAATTCCTCTTAATATGAAATTGTATACGTAGTAGCATGAAAAATTTAGTATATAATTGAGTTGTTAATCCCAAAAGACCCATTAATGTTTTTGTTTTAGTATACATAGACCAGAAAATGTATGATATATATTTGAAAATTGTTAAAGGTTGATTATGAATATTTTGGAAGTAACAAGTTCAGAATCTGTTAGTGATTTCACTCTAGTTCAACTGCCTCTTGCTAATTTTAATAGGAAATTTGTTGCATTAAGCAAGTTTGAACCAATATTTCCTTTTAAAATATAATCATCTGAAGGTTCTTAATGTGAATTTGTACTCTAGTTCAATTGCTAGTTCAGGACTGGCCTCTGACTCTGACTTTTTTTTTTTTTGTCAGAACTGAGTCTGAATCTGAATGACGAAATTCTGGGGAAAAAAAAAAAAATCATGAGTACTTGATGACAAGGATAGGATTGAGGATTGATCAGCTTCTGTGGAATTTGGAAATGTCTTTTGGAGGGGAAAAGAAAAAAACAGAAAGATAAGGTTAGCAGCCTTAAACTGGATTACCATTGTTGTAATTATTAGAGAGTTAAAATAACATTTTTGCTTGCCAAGTATTCCTTTTGGAGTGCCATAGTTGTAAGCTGCATTTAAAGATTATATGCATATCGTATTATCACAATGAAAACATTTATATCCTGGTGTTGGAGTTCATGCATGCACTTTATTTTGCTTCAGAATTTCATACCTAGTGCTCGTTTGTTTAGTAAAAGTACTAAGTATATAATATCAACATTAAAGAAGTTGAAGCTAGCTCTCATCTTGATTCTCGAAAAAGAGATAGGAAAAATAACAAATTTAATATTTTTTTTTTTTTCCAACAATTTAATATATATACCTTAGCGAAAATGACAGTTATATCCCATTTTTTTTTAAATTAACGAAAATTGAGTCTTTGATCTTTTTTTTTAAATAAGTTAAAAATATCAATCAAGATAATTACTTTTAACAGCCACAAGTATTTTATATAAAAATAATTAAAAATTAAAAATAATTTAATTAATTAATTTTAGTAGTGGCAGTTTGTTGTTGCCAAAAGTATTTTTATAAATAATTAATAATTAAAAAATTAAAATATTTTTACAAAAATTAATTTAGATAATTATTTGTAGCGGCAAAATTTGTTGCCACTAAAAGTATTTTCATAAAAAAATTAAATAAATTTAAATTATGTGAAATAATTTATAAAATTATTATTAGAAAAAATTTCTTATGAATTATTTTAAAATTAAATAAAATCATTCAAATGATATTTATGGAATTAAATTTTTTTATATATAGAATGAGAAATAAATTATATATAAGATCAATAATAATTACTTTCAAAAATAATGATCTTGTTAAGTTGGTATTTTAATAATTATCTTATTTTAATAATTACATTAAAAAAATTCTTATGGAATGCTTATGCTTCTATGGTTTAAATCATGACTAATAATTTCCAATCAATGTTGGGTCTATTCCAATGGATTTTGGTATATGTTAGCTTTCAAAACCAACCTTGATCTGGTCCCAAATTAGTAGGGAAACCTTTTTTTACTCCTTGCCAAATTTGAATATAAAATGTTCATTTAATGATTATATTGAATTTATGATTAACTAAGATGATATTTTACGTTGTTTTAGATGTATAATGAAACCATGGAATATATTTCTAATTTGACTTCTTTTAGTTATCACCATGTGGGCATCTGAACACTCGATTATATATTCCTCTTAATTTTTACTCTTTGCGTGTGTCTAATTTGAAATTTTATGGATTTAAATTTAGTAAATGACTTAATATTCACTTTAAATGGTCTCGCAAATGTAGAAGATCAAAGAAATAAAAATTTCAAAGTATTTCAGAAGTTGAAGATAAAGAAAACAATAATCTTTATTAGAGATTAAATTGAAACAAAACAAACACCTAAAGTCAAAATTTGGATCTGAATAACGAAATTCTAGAAAACAAATTCATGTGTACTTGATGACAAGGATAGGATTGATCAGCTTCTGCAGAATTTGGAAAATGTCAAGTCTATTTGGAGCAAAAAAACAGAAAGATAAGGTTGGCCAGCAAGATTTGGTTTGAACATTTGAATTTGCCACTAATTTAATTTTCTCAGAAGAAAATTCATCCACGTACCGTCTCTTCGATATGTGATTATGTAATGTTATACGTACATCAAGCAAGTTGAATAAAATTATAAGATGTTTTTAATTAAATTTTATTAGTTAATTGTAATAACTCAAGAATTTTGAGTAAAAAATATATATATATATATATATAATATAAATACATATATTATTGTGGTTGAATTGTAGTTATATTAATTTTGAAATAATTATGACAAGAGGAGGTGTTGGTATAGTGGGAGTTTGCATATATCTCTTACATCTAATCTTGAGTTCGGACCTGGTTGAAGCCAGAAATACTTTTGTACCGTGAAATTACAAAACTACCCTTGCCTCCACAGATTTTTTTTCCCTTTCTTTTCCTCTCTATTTCTGGCACGATTCAGCATTTGGGGCTCTGTAGAAAATTCTAGATTCTCTCATCTCTCACTCTCTGCCTTCTCCGTCTCCTCCTACTTCCGTCCGCAGCATTGTTAGCGTGTGAGTGTGCGAGAGTTCTGTCCGACACTCCTTTGCCAAGTTTGTGCTCTTTCCTTCCTTTCTCTATTGCAGATTAGTGAGGTCATTTTTTCCTCTGTCGGGCGATGATCTGAGCATTTAAGTTTCTTTCCCTTCTTGTTCACAGCCTTTGCCGATATGGGCGTTTCTTATTCATGTAGTCGCCGTCGTTGCTTTGTTTGCCATGGCTGTATGTAACCTGTAGCCTCCCTCATCTTCCTCTGTCTTTCATCATTGAAGCCTCTTCCTTCTGATCTGTCTGAGTAACTACAAGGGTGAGTCAAAAATCTCCTCCTCTCTTGCAACACGACACTACTGTTCACTGCCATAGAGAGCTTTGAACCTCCTTTCTCTTCTCTCATTTATTTCGTTTTTGGGTGCCGAAGAACAGGGGAGACGTGACTGTTGTTCTGGAAATTTGATTTTGAAACTTCCTCCTTCTTTTATGCTGTAAATTTCGTTCCCTTTCTACTACTGTAAATTGAGGTGAGAAATTTTGATCTTCCTCTTCATGGTTGCTCTGTATGTGTGTGGGTGAATATAGAGATAAAATGGTTGGAAATTTTTCCTTTTATTACCATATTTGTTAAGCAAAAAGGAGAAATTATGAAGTTGAAATTGTAGTGTATAAAGAACAAGAGAATGTTAGGCTAGGCTTGAGTTTTGTTTATTTGATCTGATTATTAATGTTGAAAAATTTTGGATAATTGATAGGAGGTTAAGAAGTATCATTGATTGAGCTAGGAATTGATACTGATGAGATAATTGTTAGAAATGTTTGTTAGAAGTTGTTAGTTGATTGAGTATTTTCCTAAAATCTTATTAAACTCTTGGGAAAAACATAAATGGTTTGGATGCTATTATCTAATAATTTGAGTTGGACATTGTATAGAAATTTAATTAAAAAATATATTTATTTGTAATAGTTATATCATCACATATTAAGCAGTCATGGAAGATAATTATCTCCATAAGGAAGTGGAGTTAGAGATAGGGATGTTTGGAAAGAGTAATTTTGATTATTAATGCAAGAGCCAATTGATTATCAAAATATTAGTCTTTGAAATACCTATGAAATGTTGGGGAAAAAGAAAATTTAAATTAAAGATGAAAATTGTCTTTGTTATTTTTTTCTAAATTGATTTAGAGTTAAAAAGGTATAAAAAATAAAATAAAATAAATAAATCTTTAAAATAAAATAATGATGTTATTATTTGGGCATTAGGATTTAAAGAGCAAACATTGTTGCAAGAGGACCGGTTAGGGGTAGAGAATGTCTTAGGTAAGTGAATAACGTCCCAAATAATTTATTAGCAAAGTTTTTTTTCATCAAAGATATTGATTTCAACAATTCACAATTTTATCTATTTATATATGTGTGTATATGTATATATATTTCATAAGCATTGATTATTTCTGTTGATTGAATAACTCTATTTTCCTAAGCCATGTTATGTGCTTACAACATTGATCAACTCGTTTTTTTTTCAAGTTTTAGTAATCCTTATTCGACAAGGACAATGAGGAAAATTTGTGAAAGAGTTTGTAAGTTTTTACAGTGAAAAGAACAGGTGTTTACATAATTCATGTGAGTCTGATATGGACAAGAGAAAATTTTAATTCAAAAATGATTTTTTTTTTGCATGTTTGAAAATTAATTGTTTAAGGGATTTTAGACAGAACACTAGTAGCTAATGGCAATTCCGTTAACCCTTGGCGTGCCATGATCAATTACTAGCTAGTTAAATTTCATGAGCTTGTTCTCACGTCTGTTATTTGTGGGTCTCGTACCTGCATCTGTTTTCGTGGCTTCAACCACGTCTGGTTAGTTGCCCTCGTGGACTGTGTATCTACATATGTTTCGTGACTTCGGCTACGTTTGGTTACTTATCCTCGTGGATTGTGTGTCCACGTTTGTCTTCGTGGCATAAGTCGCGTTTGGTTATTTGCCCTCATGGACTGTGTGTCCATATTTGTTAATTGTTCTGATAAGTCCCTATAAATATGAAATTGATTATTTAATGATTTCATATTCCATTTGTTTTAGTTAGCAACATATTTTAATTACTTATTTTGTTTAATTGTTTCCTTGAAATTAAGTTATGACAACATTTGATATGATAATTTAATAGTTCAAGATTTCATTTAAAGTTATATAGAATCCTGTTGTTCCACGCTTATTTGAATCTTTATGGAGATCATTGTCTTTTTTTTTTTTACTTACATAATTGTTCCTAATTTTTTTATTCAATTAATTATTTATTATTGGGACGTTATTCACTGAAAAATATTTTTGGTCTCAGATAGTGTAGCTGACACTGAACCATCCGCCAAATATTGAGGAGTCTATTATTGACTAAAGGTGGATGAGTTAAGGATTAAGTATTCTTTTGATGTAATGTTTTAAATTAGGAAATTTTATTTTGTAAGCTTAATTTATGTGCTCCACATAGTCTATAGCTAAAACCTTTATTTTGTCATATATTTTTGCTTGGTGGTCGGAAGGAATTGAATTCCTGATTAATATGATATTTAGTGTAAAATATTGAGTATAGAGTTTTTGGGAGATCTTGTTTAAAGAAGAGGTTCTGCTGAAATTTCTACAAAAATATTAAAACTTTTATAAATGTTAAAAATGTTTATGCATGTTCTAATTTGAACTAAAAACATAATTAGGTTTTAGTCATAGAAAGATTAATTGATTCAAGGCTTAAGGGATATACAGTGGTTCACATCCTGTGCCGGTCATTCTCTATTTTTAAAGCATGACACTAATTGTCTTCAAACTAACATCTTTCTATGTGTGTATTTGATTAAAAAATCTACAATTGAGGACTCAACTGAGGTTAGAAAAAATATCTGTAATTTTAACATAATTTTTGTTTGGATACTTTTTTTTTAAAAGTCAATTAAATAAATTAAAATTTATTTGAATAATTTAATTCAAATGTCAATTTAAAAGTATAATGATAATAAAGGACATAAATTTCATTATATATTTTTGTGATTAATTTGGTTTTTTTTTAAAAAATATTAAACTTTTTGATTAACCAACATTCTATTTTAAAAAATGAAACTTTAAATTATAATTTTATCTAAAAAATAGAGTTAAGAAACATAAAATAAATTAATATATATTAAACATGTTAATTAATTAGAGATTCTTCTTCAACCTTTCTCCTGCTTTTGTTAGTAAAAAAATAAGAAAAAGCTCTCCCTCTCATGCTGAATGCCAATGCAAAAATAAATAATAATAAAAAATTGAAAGTGGATTAAATGCTTCCACCACTCAAGGCTAATGCAAAAGTCATGAAAATGAGATTTGAAAAAAAAAAAAAACTCATTTGAACCTTAACTTCAATTGAAATTTTTTATCAATCCAAACATGATTTTTATTTTGTAACGAGCTTTTAATGCTTTTAACTAAGGTTTGAGCCATCCCAACCTCAGTTTAAAGTTAATCCAAACATAGCTCTAAGTTCAATTTGATTCTTATTTAATATTTAATTTTAAAATAAATATAAAGTGATTTATATAATTAATCTTATTTATATGTTATTTATAGAATATTATTTAGGTTGCTCCCATAATGTTTGGAAAAGATACTTCGCTATTTAAAAAATATAAAACATATTTTTAAGGTGAGATATTAAAAAATATAAGTGATTTCAAGTCTTTTAAAATGTAATTAATGAGTTTTTTTAAATATCTTTAATAAGACAGTATAATTAACAAAGTTTTCTAATAAAAACAAACTACTAAAAAAGTATAAATATGAAAAGAGTATATAATTTTAAACATAATTAACTAACTTATTAAAATTATACTTAAATTAAAAATGTTTTATAATATTAAATGGAAGAGCAACAAAGATTGTACTCCTTTCGTTAAAAAATATAAGATATTTTCAATCGAATCTCACTTCTAATAGAATAGTTACTTATTTTTAAATCTAACTTTATCTTTTTATATTTACTTCTATTTAATAGGGTGTTTTATTCTAAAATAAATATAAAGTGATTTATTCAATAGAGCACTTAAAAAAAACAATGATTACATCTTAAAACATGTTATATTTTTTAATATTTAAATTCTCAAAAAATACCTTACATTTTTAAATGAAGAGAATAATCTTTTTGTCTCAAATTATAAAATAATTTTAAATAAAATTTTACATATTTATAAATTTTATTGAATAAACTTAACAAATTTATTTTTTAAAAAAATTATAAAATTTTAAAAATATTTTTTATTTGATAACCTTAAATTTATATTTAATTATTAAATAAATAGAATAAGTCTGTTTAGTAAAACTATAATTTTATCAAAATATTTCACACTGTAAAATGTCAAAGTTTTTTTTAAATGTTTTATAATTTAAGAAAAAGAAAGTATTATCTTTGTCACCTCCCATCCTTGTCACCTTCCCCGAGAAGGCGGAAAGAATGCCCCAATGACTTCAAAGCTTCAGAATTTTGCCGTGTCCAAGAGACCCGTGATCTGAACCTAAATCCGGAGACGACTTTGCTATTATTGACTTACTGCTGCCTCTTCTTCTTCTTCCTCCTCCCCATTCTCAGGCATCATATTTCACATCATAGCGATCTGATCGCTCCTCTCATCTTCCGAACCTCAAGTAAAACCTGAGTAAGCAAACCAACTCTCTGTCTCTCTACTTGCTTGTTCGTTTCAGACTTTCATACTGATTCCCTGTCTCTGATATGGGTTTCTTTATTGCTTCTCTTTGTTTTTTGTTTGGAGAAATTGAATGCGAGAGTGATGGAGAAACCAGGAGCAGGTGGAAGGCCAAGGCAGTTGACATGTGGGAACACGTCAGGGTGTTGGAAGGGAAAAGAGTAGAGTGTAAACATTGTGGATTGAAATTTGCAGCAAGTGCTAATCGCATCAAAGCCCATATAAATCAGATCAAGGGTCAGGGAATTCGACTGTGTCCTGGTTCTCCTCAGCTAAACAATACCAATTCCGACAAAGTGACCAGTGATCTCAAAGAGAAAGAGGACCTCCTTGCCATTGATGATTCTTTCTCGCTAGAAGACCTCCCTCATCCCCAAGGTACGAAATAATATTATTTGTATTTTACTTTAAATGGGAGAGTGATATTTCAGTATCTCGTTAGGGTATTATTAAACCATTTATTTGACAGCTATTATAATAATAGTATACTATTATAACAATCTTTTGGAGCACATTTTATTATTTTAACCCACAAAAGGGCTTTTTGCCTTGGACCTCGTACGCAGAGCTGCAAGGCCTGGGCTGAATTTTTGTAATTTAAAATTTAAAATTTTAATTATACTAATAATTTAATAAATTGTGTCATTTTTATATGTTAATTCAAAAATTAAAATCAATCAAATAATTTTAACCATATTATTTTGTAACATCAATAATTTCAATTAAACAAATTTTAACAATTTCAACCACATGTTAATTAGATAAAAAAACTGGGCCTAACGAGTTAGCCCAAACTTATTTTTTAACAGGTTGATTAAGGTGAAGCTTAAAATTCCTTTTAGGTTAAAAAAAAAAAACACCCATTTTTTATAGTCTGACTCTAAAAAATGCAAGATTGAAACTGGCTTTATAAGTTTGAAGGCCTGGCTTGTGTTCACGGGTCTACTCACATGCAAACTGTGAAATCAAATCTAACCCCTGCAACTCATCAACAAAAATTATCGCCATAACATGATTCTCAATTATGTGTGTGTATATTATATTATTGTTTTTAAGAAAAAAGGATTACACCTGTAAATTTTATTGATAAGTTTTCATTTACAGAGGATGAAAATACTCAACTCTCAAATGCCAATTTTGTTGTTAGGAGAAAAAAAAAAGGAAAATCAGAAACTAAGGGCTTGTTTGTTTTTTGTTTTTTAAAACTTTTTTTTTTGTTTTTGAAACCATAAAAATTTAAAAACTTGTTTGATGATGTGTTTTCAATTTAATTATTTTTAAAACTATTTTTAGTTTTTGTTTTAAAAATAAAAAATAGAAATAACTTCAAGTTACTGGTAAATAAAAAAAAGAAAGAAAGAAACAACTTCAAGTTATTTTTTTTATTTTTCTTGTTTTAAAAATATTTTACATTTAATTATTAAAAATTATAATTATTTTAACTAATTTTTATCATGAATTACCACCATATTAATCACCTATAATTATCATTATCAGTCTATTTTTAAATTTTAAAATAATTTTAAAATTAACATGACCAAACATATTTTCATTTTATTTTGTTTTGAAAAATAATTTTAAAAATGGCATTACAAAATAGTTTTAAAAATAAAAAATGAGAATAGAAACCGAATAGGTCCTAAGGTCCTATTTTTTTTGTTTTTAAAAACTATTTTTTGTTTTTAAAAACAAAAAAAATTTAAAAACTTGTTTGATTAAGTGTTTTCGATTTAATTGTTTCTAAAACTATTTTCATTTTTTTAAAAAACAAAAAAATAGAAACAATTTCAAGTTGTTTTCATTTCATTTTTTTTAAAATATATTCCATTTGATTATTGAAAATTATAGTGTTGATTAATTTTTATCATAAATTACTACCATTAACTGCCTATAACCATTACTATTAGTCTATTTTTTTAATTGTAAAGCTATTTTTAAATTAACATAACCCAGCAAATTTTTATTTTATTTTGTTTTGAAAAACAATTTTAAAAATTATATTATACAACAATTTTTTTAAAAAAATGAAAACAGAAACTAAACAGGTCCAATATCCCTGGTACTAACTTGACACCAGCACCAGAGACCTAAGTCTACGAACCTAGGCACATGGGACGCATAGGGACAAATTAACATTAGTGATAAACATCGTTTTTGTATATGTTGTGGATTGTGATGATTAGTATATTAATTCTAAATAAGGTATCAGCTTTTCTTCTTATTTATTGGAGCGAGGAATGAAACATTAATGCTTGATTGTTACATGTCCTTCAAACACACTGAAGCTATGCATCAAGAGATGATTCATGTTTGCCCTTTCTCTGTTTCTCATATGGTGAATGAAGCTGACTTGCGGTTGATTCAATATGTTTTTGAACAATCATGCAGGTTAGATTTATATACATACTTCGAATTATATTACTAAATAGTATTTCTGTTTATTTGTTTTTCTAAGCTTAAATATTAATCTCTAATCTTATATTTTATTCAGTGATGAGAAAATTTTCTCTTCACCACGTTTACATTTGACACAATCTGACTTTATTACTCTTAGACCGGAGGCCGATTTGAATTCGTGGGTGAGTATTTACTTATACTTTTATTCTAATTTGTTATTATTGAGGAATGTCTTGGTTATGTTAAAGAGTTTTTAATTTTTCTGTTTTCTTAGGTAATAGATATTTTTGTCTATATCTTGACGGAGACTGAAAGGAAGAAAAGTAAACCTTTGAATTTGTACCTTCCAGTGATGTTTTCGGTGATATTTTATTCCCTTTTAATAGGATGATATATGTTAGTTCTGGAATTTAAAAAAATTTATTGAAAAATATGTTTAATGTTTCTTTTGTTATAGAATGAAGCGCTCAAAAGTGACGTAAGTTCCTTCCTTAACTTTGTTGAGCGGCATAATATGAGAGAAAACTACATGTTTCACTTAAACTATTGTGAGAAGGTATTATGTTATTCTCTTCTTGTAGTTGATGTTTCGCTTACCATTATGAATGCTCTTTCGACTATATGTCAATCTGATTTTTTTGATCACATATTACAGATTTTTATTCCTGTCCATGCTAAAAAAAATTCTTGTGGACATTTTTATTTATACATTATTCATGTGAAGAATGAAGTTGTTGAAATATGGGATTCTCTTTATGATCAATTTATGGATAAAACTGAACGTGAACGAACAACACAAAAACTGGTAAGTATTAAATAACTGTAATATTCGTTAATTAATATATTGATGTTTATATTTTAATTCTATATATATAATTAATTTCGTATATGTAGTTGCTTGCCATGGACAAATTCCTCGGGGTTGCCATGTTCACAAAATTTCTCTGGACGATGGCAATCAATATCCCATTACAGCCTAATGGGTGAGTTTATGATTTTTTATTCTAAATTATTAGCTTTATTAAAGCAAGTGTGCATCCTGACCATATCATATTTCTTCAATACGTAGATATGATTGTGGTATATTTGTTATTAAATATATGCAACAATCAGATAATTTTGTGAGGCAAAATCCCTCATTTCAGGTATGGTCACTTGCCAACTTGTTAGTTTTTGTTAATGCTCTATACATATTCATTCACGCATACATATAAATGATATGGATAAAATGTGTAGTTTGACAGTAATAAAGAAAGATTGGATTTGGCTTTAGAGTTCCTCAACAGTGACTTAAACCAAGAAAAGAAAACACTATATGATAAAGTAGCAAGAAGATGCAAGCAAGGCAAAACTGCAATTGAAAGAAAGTGGGTTGATACATGCAAAACATTATCTGAAGATGTTGGAAGAGGGGCATGTATGGAATTGGTTGCCTCTGATAATAGAGTCAAGAGAAAAAATGCTAGCTTGGAAAAAGGTATATGCTTTAACTTAAATTATATATTCTTTCTAAGTTCCCTTAAAGTAAGTAATAGCTATTATCATATCATACTTCCCTTAAAGTAAGTAATAGCTATTATCATATCATACTAAATGATTATCACTTTGTTTTTAAGACATGGTGAAGGATATATAAATGGAATATATTCAATTATTTTTGTATTTTATTCTTCTCACTTCTTGTGTTTGAAAGAAATAATTCCTATTGTGACCTCATGTTAATTGATTATTCTTATTCTTATTCTTATTGCTAGGATGTGTTAAAGGTTATGAATTGCCAACAATTGAGTTAGTGGGCAAGAAGTTTCAAAGTTATGCTAAACAAATATGGAAATGGCTAATGGAAAATAAGGTGTCAACAATTGGGATATGGGGAATGGGAGGAGCAGGGAAAACAACTTTAGCAACTCATGTACATAACAAGCTTTTAAAAGAAGCTGGCGATGACTTTGACTATGTTATTTGGGTTACAGCATCACGATATGATACCATTTATGAGTTGCAAAAGGTCATTGCAAGATCAATTAATTTAGACATATCTGATGAGCATGATGTGAAAAGAATATCCGGGAAATTGGTGCAAGCATCTAAGCATTTAAATAGATGTGTCCTTCTTTTAGATGATGTTTGGGATCCTATCTTTTTAGAAGAAGAGGTTGGATTTCCTGTTTCGAATAATGGGATTAAATTGATTTTGACAACTCGTTCATGGGAAGTGTGCCAAACTATGAACTGCTTGAAGAGCGTAATAGAAGTAGAACCATTAAATGAAGAAGATGGTTGGGAATTGTTTAAAACAACTCTTGGATCCCATATGATGCAATCTAGTGAAGTGGAGCCTATAGCAAGTACTGTGGCTAAACAATGTGAGGGTTTGCCCCTTGCAATTGTTACGATAGCAAGAAGCATGAAGGGAAAAGAAGGGAAAAGAGAATGGAGTCATCTGTTGGAATGCCTTCAAAACTTGGATAAGGGGCAAAGTGATATGGAGGAGAGGGTATTTCCTGTGTTGAAATCTAGCTATGCTTGCTTAAATAATAAATTGCAAAGATTTTTTTTGTACCTTGCATTAACTGGCAAGGAATGTTTTGTTGACAGTAATTTTAGATGTTTGATTAGAAGATTTTTCCATGAGGAATGGATAGATGAGAAAAAGAGCTTGGAGATGCAGTATAATGAAGGTTACACCATGATGAAGAAATTAAAGAATGGCAGTTTGCTTATGGAAATATATGATGGGGAATTTTGGATTATGCCCAAATTGCTGAGGGTCATGGCTATTAATATTGTAAAGAAGACTGATGAAATTATGGACAAATCTGATATGAATTTGACAGAAATACCGGAAAATGGTGAATGGCATGAAAATTTGCAAAAAGTTTTTTTGAGCAGAAATGAAATACAGAAAATTGTAGATGGCACATCTCTTAGGTGTTCTAAACTTTCCACATTGCGTTTAGATTGTAATTATGATCTCAAATGGATCCCAGATGATTTTTTCAACAACATGCCTCTCTTAAAGTACTGGATTTGTCTAGGACTGGCATCGAGTGTTTGCCCGAATCCATCTCTAACTTGGTATGTCTCATCACATTATTACTTTCAAATTGTACAAAATTGAGTTATGTGCCTTCATTAGTAAAATTGCAGCGGTTAATATCATTGGACCTTTCACATACTGCCATAACTGAAGCACCTTGTGGCTTGGAATTGTTGGTCAATCTTAGATATCTGAATCTAGATGATATAGAACAGTTGAAAATATCACCATCAATGATAGCCAAAATGACCAATCTGCAGTCTCTTATATTGAACCGTTACCCAAAATCAATGGATATGAGGGCACACGATTTACAGGGTTTGAGAAATGTAGAAGATATTTCAGTTAACTTTTGTAACATTAAAGAGTTTAATGACTATGTTGAGAGTTTCCCGTACAAAGATCGCGTGCTCAAAAAATACCATCTAAGTTCAGCTACGTCACTGAATTTTTATCTCAAGTTGTATGTTGATGGTTGGGAAGCCTATTGTTCAAAAAGGGTTGTTTTTTGTGGTATTAATTTGGGAAACAGAGTGGTGCTTCCACGAGACGTCAAGGAGTTGATTATATGTGAGTGTGACCTTTTGGAAGACTTAAAGCCCATAGCTGCACCGTTTGCTCCATTCGTTCATAAATGCACCCCATTTTCTCACCTTATGTACCTTTTTATTCATGAATGCAGCAGGATGAGGATTCTGCTGACGTGGGCATTATTATCACACCTCCTCGAGGGCATTTCTGTAATATCTTGCAAGTCGATGGAAGAGATAGTTGGAGAGGATTGTAGCAATGACAATATTCTCCCTACCATCACCCTCCCCAAACTGAGATTTGTGTACTTGTATAAGCTACCAGAATTAAATTCCGTGTTCAGAGGAACCATGCTCTGCCCTTCTCTGAAATCTTTTCATGCCGTCTTTTGTGAGAAACTAAGCCACCCTTCGATAGAAATTGAAGAAGGACATGAGCTTCTGATGAAGAATACCAAGACTGGATACTGTTGGAGCAGTGATGATCAGGTGCATATCTCCCCCAAAAGTTGACTTCCTTTTATTATATGGATATCATTTTATCATTTCTTTGCTGAGCACGTATATGAACATTACTGCTATCTGTGTTTGTTTTATTTATCTTTATTTTAATTTTAAATACTTGTCATGAATTTTTATCATACTTTAAATTTCTCTTTACCATTGCTCTGTTTTTTCCCCTTTCTTTCACTCTGTTATTTGGATTTAGGTCTAACACTTTGTTTTAGAGATGATCAAACTTGAATGCTGAAATTCATGGTCAATTTTGGAGTCGTTACTAATAAAATAAGTCGTGCATTTTTCAACTTAAATTTAGTTGATCTTTTTTTTTATTTTGGTCAAAATTTAATTGATCTTTTGAAAGTTTGGATGTGTAAACATATTATTTCAGTTATAATATGCAGAACATCAGATAAATATTAACTATGTATATCGAACCAGTTTGTGGCACATGCATCTGGATTTTAATTTTTTTTATTCAGTGTTCAAATCGTGTAGTGCAATCTAGGATCCTTTGAAACCCAAAATGAATGTTTTACAAGATCAAATGGGTTTGTGTTTGAAGCTTGACAAGATTTTGGTTCCCTTTGTAGCCCCTGAAAAAAAGGCTAGATGATTCCTCGATCGAATTTATGCCCTCTGAATTGATTGACGGATTCAATAAATTTAATGAGAGAAATTGATATAGAGGAGAAAATTCATCTGTTCACATATTTTTATTTAAGAAAGTCAAAATTCAGAAGAAAGAAAAGAACTCAATTCAACTAAGCGAAAGAAGGATTTTGTTTGGAGCTCCATTTTAAAACATAAAGTTATTGATAGAAGTAAAACTGTTCTGTTGATTATGATATTTATGCCTCTATGGTTTTCAGACCAGTAATTTCCAATGAATGTGGGATCTATATCTTTGGGTTTTGGAAAAAAATCTCAAGGCTTCTTTCTCTCCTTCTAAACCCTTGTTCCTTTTCAATGGCTGTTCTCTTTTGTAAGGTTTGAATATAATTCTTTTCATTTTTTTGGCTGCATTGAATTTATGATTAACTGAGATAATATTTTACGCCCCTGGAAATTAAATTAGGAGATTTGAAACGGGAAAAAAGTAGAAAATTAATATGGCATCACAAATTTGTTTGTCGTATTGAAATTGTGTTAATGACAAAAGGCCTGACTAGTTAGTATCAGTCTTGGATGTTGTTATTGTGCTCATGGCCATACTTCTAAATAGTTACAGTGTGGGTCTTTTTGTCGCTAGAATGCTTCTCTTTCATGCTTAATATAATTGTGAGTTTGGCTTTAATAGAACCAATCTGATCAGGAGCTCAAAAATATGGTTGAGAAGGACAGAGAAAAAGAGAACGAGGATGATGAAGAAGAAAAGAAGGAGGAAGAGGAGGAGGAAGAAGAAGAGGATGAGGATGGGGATGAGGAAGAAGAAGAGGATGAGGATGGGGATGGGGAAGAAGAAGAGGATGAGGATGAAGATGGTGAAGAGGACATAAAATTGTGGTTAAAGGCTACTGGCAGTAATTAATAGGAGTTACATTTTTGGCATTGAATGCGAGGCTCGTTCATTTCATAACTCTTGTTTTATAAGAGCATCCCTTGCCTTTCATTACATTACAGGACTCCGTCAAGAATTTTGAAATGGGTGTGTATGTACATTATTTTGATTATATCAAGCGGAACTTCATATAAATATTAACCATACCAAACCAATTTGTGGCATACATAGCTTGATGTTAATTTCCTATCCAGTGTTCAAATCATGCTCTGCAATGTTGGGTCCTTCAAAACCCAAAATGTGTGTTACAATATCAAATGGATGTGTTTGAAGCTTCGTAAGATGTCCATTAATTCTCTTTATAACTCCTGGAAAGGGGCTAGAAGATTTCTTTTTAATTAAATTTATGCTCTTAGAATTTATTGATGCATTCACCTAAAGATCAAAAATTTACTCATGGTTATGTTTCTACAGTTTAGAATTTTTTTTCTTTGGATTTTGGTTCATGTTTGCTTTTAATCAAAACACGAACCAAATAAAACCAATCTATTTGCCTAAAAAATGACATTTGATTGATTTTTTATCGAGATCAATTTGGTTCAATTTTTAGATAGTTTGATTTTGTTTGTTTATATATGGATTAAGTTTCAATATTTCTTTAACATAAATTATATATTGAGACTGACTATAATTTTTGGCTCTTTTTTCCTTTCACATTTCAACTTCAAATCACATCCTTCATTCTATCATTCATGAATGAAAATGATCACATTCAAAATAAAAATATTCAAATTTTATTATCAGTAAACATCAGAGTATATGCATTTGTAAGTAACACAAGCTAAATTTCATTATAACTTGTTTTGATTTCAATAATGAAAAGTAACTTGTTTTAAATAAACATGGTGAAATTATACATCTAAAATTATTTAAAAGATCATTCTTAAATAACATGAGTATATCCATTTGACTGAATAATAACATTAGGAAATGAAGGATTGAAAATTCTATTAAAGTATTTTGGATACGAGTTAGACTTTAGTTGAAGTTAAAATTAAAAAAAAAACAATAATGTCCAATATTAATAATAAAAATTACATTTAAAAATATAAAAGATATGGTGTAGGTTTGGTTAAAGTTTCAGATAATAAAAACTGAGACCTAAACTAAACCATTCAATTTTCAAATTTGTAAAACCAAATTAAAGCTTTTTAATAATCGGTTTCATTTAATTTTTATTGGACTAGTTTGGATGAGTTTGGTGTGATTAATTTTGTTTAGTTTTGCTCACCAGTTTATATATCACTGGAAGCATGTTTCACTTTAATGAAAGAAAATTTTAAATCTCATTATCTATATTAAAATTTAATAATTTTTCACCTTTACCTTCTAATAAAAATAAAAATAATTATTTTTAATAATTTTTATAGCATTTAAAGATAGAAAAGTGAATATGAATATTAAAAATAGTGAATTGCCCTGTAAATAAGATCAAAATTAATCTTCTTTCTCTGTCCTATCTGATGAGTGTTATATATTTTAAATATATTATACTACAATTAAGATCATGATATTAATTACTCATTTCATTTCAAATTATAAGATAACTTGATATAGGATTATGCATACCAATAAATGATAATAATGACATTTTACCAATTTACTTTTTCAAAACAACATTATAAATTTTTAAAAAATGCCCTTACACAATTTTTTTTAGCAAAACCCCCCACCCAATTAATCATTAAGTTATAACATCATTCAATTCTCTCTTTACTTAAAGAGTAATATTAAAAAAGTATTATTAATTAAATATTAATTTTTTTAAATTGTCTTATAGTTTAGGATAAAAGATCTTCCCAATGTTGTCTTATAATTAGGACAAAAGGAGTAATTTTTAAAAAGAAAGATCAATAAGTATATAAATATTTTTCTTTTTGAAGAAGCCAATTGTCTAGTGGTTTCCTAGTTATTCATCGCTTCTACAAAGGAAACAAGATAATGTCGCTAAATTCATTGCTTACGTATTTCATGCCATAGGCATCGATACTTAATTATTCGTTACGAATATAATTTTTTATAATAAATACATATGAGACCATAATTATAAAGAACAGGCCAAACCCAATTAGTTGAACTAATGTTTTAATTGATTCAATAAAATATTTTATTTATAACTGAGGTGATCACGATTCACTCACAATTTTGCTCATTAACTTTAGTGGTTCAATGATTGGTACCTTATATCAAACTTCATAATTAATCATCATTAAATATATTTTTCATTTCCCCCCAAACTTTCAATATAATTTTTCGTATTGTTTCGCCGCCAAAATCAAAGCAAGTTCTTGCTACTATAACTTTCAGTCTTTTGACCACGTTAGATGATCAAAATTTATTAGAATGCTTTGTTACCACTGTGGTGGGTCCACAACTATTTTACATCTATATTTTACAATCTCTTATATTGAACCATACCCCAAAATTCATGGATGTGAGGGAACACGATCTACAAGGTTTGAGAAAGCTAGAAGTTATTTTAGCAAAGTTTAGTGATATTGAAGAGTTTAATGCCTATGTTATGAGATTCCAGAAACAAAGATCGCAACAGGAACGGACCTACATGCATTATAGAAGGGGCACTTGCCCCTACTAGATAAGGGAAAAATTAAAAAATTATATTTTGAAAAATTTTCAATTACCTCCCCCAAAAATTTTCAGTTGCCACCACCTTAGAAAAATCATGTCTCCTTAAAGTTTTCCATTCCTCTGCCTAAAATTTATTCTATACATAATAAACTTAAATAAAAGGGAAAATGCCAGTGACAGTTCCTAGAAGAGGGGGAAAAATAATGATGGTCTTGAATAATTGAAGGTTTATTTATATATAATTAAAGGTTTATTATTGACTTATACATATATAAATGAACTTTCAATTATTTATGGCTCTCACTACCATACTCTCTAAATAAAAATAGTTTTATAATAGAGGAAATAATAATTTAAAAAATAAATTTCTCTAATTGCATAAATGAAAAAAATTATCTCAAAAACTTCTATACTATACAAAACAAGAAAGTAGATAAATTTTATTTAATAAATAATAAAATTAAAAACATTATTATTTTCTAATATTTATAAATTTCTGGGATTTTTAAACACATTATTTTTTCTATTGTTATAAATTTTACCTTTAATTTAATTTAATAAACATTAAAAATATTATATGTTAAAAATATTAATATTTATTTTAAATGTAAATTTTGCCCTGACTAATTAATTTTTCCGGTTCAGTCACTGGATCGCGTACTCAAAAATTATTGTCCGCGTTCAGCTACATCATGGAATAATGTTCTTGAAAATGTTGGACGCGATGCCTATTCTTTAAAAACAGTTGTTTTTTTTTTTTAATGACATTGATTTGGGAAACAGAGTGGTGCTTTAGGAGACATCAATGAGTTGATTATAAGTGAGTGTTGCCTTTTGGAAGACTTAAAACCAATAGTGGCATGTCCATTTGTTGCATCCTTGCATAAGTGCGCCCCATTTCCTCACCTCAGAGATCTCAATATTTCTAAATGCAGCAGGATAAGGATTCTGATGAAGTGGGAATTATTATCACAGCTGCAAAACCTAGAGACCATTTCTATTAAGTATTGTGACTTGATGGAAGAAATAGTTGGACAGGATTATAGTGGTGAGATTATTTCCCCTACCACCATCACCCTCCCCAAACTAAAATTTGTGAACTTTGATAAGCCACCAGAATTAAATTTTGTATTCAGGGAACCATGCTCTGTCCTTTTTCTCAAATGTTTTTATGCCTTTCGTTGTGAGAAACTATGCCACTCTTCGATAGTGATGGAAGGAAATGTCCTTTGGATGGAGAAGAGAAACACGGGATTCGTTTGGATAAGTGGCAAATGAGGTCCATATCTCTCCTCTAAGACTTAACTTTCTTTCATTTTATGGATGCCATTTTATCATGCTTTGTTTGCTCACCCGCCTTCTTTCTTTTTCTTTTTCTTTTTTTTTTTGTTCTCTTTGTTTTATTTTTTGTTGAAATTGTTTGGGATTTGATTCATAGGAGCTAATCATTCCTTTTATTGTTTTTTTTTTTTAAATTCTGGTTAGCAGGCCCAACCAAACTGCCATTGATATCATAAAATCATGTCAACATCTCTCCCAAAAGTTAACTTTTATTTATTGTGGAGTTAAAATAACATTTTTGCACTAACGAGTATCAGGTCTAGCAAAAGAAGTTAATTCTTTGTAATATGAAAAATTACAGTTTAATTTCTTACTGAAAGATATGCCCACATTTTATGTCGACTGTGAGTTGAATAAGATTATCTTCAATAGAAAGATATCATTGAGCAATTAAAAAAAATAACATTTTTGCTTTCCATGTATTCTCTTTGAAATTAAGTACCATAGTGGTACGCTGCATTTCAAGATTATATATATATATATATATATATCATATTATCACAGTGAAAACATATATATTCTGGTGTTGGAGTTCATGCATACACTTTATTTTGCTTCAGAATTTCATAGCCAGGGCTCATTTGTTTAATGAAAGTACTAAGTAATATCATGATGAGTCCCTTACTCGTTGAAAAAAAAAGGGGTAAAAAATGACAAATTTGATCTATTTTCTTAATAATAAAATATTACGTCATTTATATAGTGCTTCAAATACATGATATTAGTAATCTCATTTGGGGTTATATTATTCTATAAAAAAAGCATATAAATTTTACAGTTTTGTGACAGAAAATGCTGTTATATATATTCTTATGTTAATAATATCATTACATATGCAAATTCTTGAAGGGTTTATTTAATTTATGGGAAAATTTAATCCTTGCTTTCATATTTCATGTGTGTTGTAATCATACTCTATTACTCATGTAGAATTGTGTTCTCTACAAAATTTAAAACGTAAGTCATGTCATTCATAACTTATTACAAATAGGGAAGTTAAAAGTTTTTTTTTTATATTATATGAACATTCTACTGGTCTAGCTTATTTGTAGATTTCTTCTTAATTATTAGAATCTAGAATACGTCAATATTGTTAAGTGCAAAGAAGGGGGCTTCTTCTTTTTTGGCTAGGAATGGAATAATCCATTAACCAGGAAATCCTGTACTGGAAGGAGACTGTAAAGTCGCTTCGACTTGATATGTCACTCACGTTATTTTTAAAACC